GAGTTTGCCTACCAAAAGGAGTATCAGTCATACGATCACACTAGCACCACATGGGTAGTTCTTCCCTAAGCAATGTACCTATTGGTCTTTCTTCTTTGTTTAAGAGTGTAGAGTAAGTCAGATGAGTAACAGGTGTTATAACACCACATAAGGAATAACTGGTGATTGAGAAAAATATTATGACAAGTAGGAAAAGCCATTTAACATGCAGACAAATACTCTGATAGATATAAACCTCTGAGGTTATCTGGTTTTGCTGACAGTGATGCAAATTCATTGAGATTTTCATGTATCCATAGGTTTCTCAGGCAAAGCTTATTGTAGACTATCTTACAGTTGTACTTAGGTTGGCAATAATATGCTTGATATTCTGTGGGCTGCTAGACCAGTACAGGATAATACTTTATATGACCTATTGAGCAATTCCAACCATTGTTTGCTACAGCATTACCTAGGAAGCTGGCAGCTAAGCCTTCCTTGTAGAAATGCTGTTTGCTCTTAATCGCATCTTGGTAGAAGTCAAGCATTGTTCCTTTCTGCCTGGTTGGCAGCCAAACACCACGCAGCCACTCACTCCCCCTTCTCTTTTGGCAATGAGAAGGGACAAATGAGCCAGGCTTGGGAATTGAGATAGGACTGGGATGGGGAAAAAATCACCCTTTATGGTCACGAGCAAAAGGCAGACTCGTTAGGGGAAGAAAAAAAAGAACATACATTTATTACAGACACTAACAACAACACTTAACAGAGTTGGACAGTGAGAAGCATTACCACATCCTGAGAACACCTTCCCCCCACCCCTCCCTTCTTCCCAGGCTCAGCTCTGCTCCCGATATCTCTACCTCCTCCCCCCAGTGGCGCAGGGGCAGGGAATGGGGGGTGCAGTCAGTGCTGCCGCTTTTTGAATCCTCGGTGGGGGAAGCTTCTGGCACTTGTTCCCCCTGCTCCAGTGTGGTCCCCCTCTCACAGGAGACGGTCCTCCACAAACCCACTTTGATGTGAATCCCTCCCATGGGCTGCAGCATTTCCCTACACTGTTCCGTTGTGGGTCACCAACTTTCTTGAACTGGAGTCCCTCCCACGGCTGCAGCCCTTCCTGAGCTGTTCCGGCGTGGGACTCCCCCGCATGCTGCAATCCTCCGAGCACTGAATTACAGCAGCAGGTCTATCTTTTCCCACAAGACCCCATCCTTCTTCGGGCACAGCACCTTGATCATCCGGGTGGAAGCCACAGGCCATAAATCAGTGTCTGCTCCACTGTAGATCTTCATGGGTGGCAGTTGGGGCCGCCCTGCCGTCTCCCCACAGGATACAGGGGGGTCTCTGCTCCAGCACACCTCCCCCCTCCTTTCTTCCTCCGTTCCTCCACTGACCTTGGTGTTCATGCAGCTGCCGCAACTCCTCCTCACAAGTCCCACTGCCCGTCACCACGTCCCTTCTTAAATACATTATCACAGAGGTACAGCTGATTTGCTCTGCCTTGGCGCAGATGTGGGGCTGACTTGGAGCTGGGGGAGCTTTTAGAAGCTTCTCACAGGGTCCACCCCTATAGCCCCCCCCCCCCCCCCCCCCCCCCGTTACCAAAAAACCCTACCACTCAACCCCGGACACTTGGAAAAACAATACCATTTTTCTTATATTAATCAACCAAACTTTTCTTACCTGACAGAGAAAAATATGTGAATAATGTTAACTTGCACACTTAAAAATATGTGTGCCCTGCTGCATGACAACATGAAGAGGTCAGGGCACAGTCATCCTTTGCCAGTACTACTAGTTCCAAGCTTCCTTCATTGCACCAGAATATAGGCGTCCACTGACAATAAAAGGACTTTATAATTGTGAAGTTTGAAAACATATCAGAATATAACTCAATGCAAATAAACATAAAAATTTTATTTATAAATTATTTGAAAGTGGCATTAAATAGACATTATTGCAAAATTAGCCAAGTTCACTAAGTACTAATGCTGAAAATTCTTTTTGGTATCTTAATATGTCTTGGTATCTTAAGATGTCTTAAAATATAAGCACATTATGATTAATACTATAATAGAATAGTTACAATCTACAATTAGAAAACCACCACACGTCACTGCAGAGTCAAACCCATTACTCAAATCACCAAGTGTATTTTCATAGCATTTTTTAATTAAAATGAAGCATAAAAAAATGTTTGGAGGTTTTATCTCTTTGGAGGCATTTTAGCATGATTTCTGACACATGCATAAACTCCAACCTCATCAGTCATTTCTTACTACAGTTAGCAAATGAGACAATTTTACATGATTATTTCATTTTCCTCAGGACTTAGTATTATTTCAGCTAACCAGCTGTTAGTATCTATTTCAATATTTATTAGTAAACCTCACTTTCCGAGGAGAGGAGCTATGGCTTTCAACTGAAGTACTTCTGGCAGAAACATTTGCAGCAAAAATACCTTCTCCATATTCAAAACCAGTTGTTGATTATTCTATTGTGAGTGGAAGTTGTTGCAAACAAAAATCAATCAAATATGCTAAAATGCTATGACATTAGGAACCTTGACACAATACTTTCAAATTATGTATTTTGTCAGTGCGTACTTATAATTCAATAGAAAGCTTTTCCCCCTTTTTTGTTGTTGTTTCTTTTTCCTTCCAAAGTTTTCTTCAGAAATCATCAACATTAGCAATTGAATGAGAATTTCTCTGTAGAGCATCTGGTTCATCTGCTACCAGTTTCTCTATTAAGAGACAGCTCATAAGAAGTTTCTCCAAATCGGTATTTTCATGTCTGGCAAGCAAGAGCGAATATTCCATCACAGTTTTTTCATTAATTTAGGCAATAGTGAAGCATAAACAGTTCAGCAATTTGCATTGTCCAACCATGCCTCGTGAAATGTGTGCAGTGCAGAGCCATATTCCCCTTAGTGTTATGCAGCTGCAAAAATAGATGGTGCAGACTAGTGTAATTAGAAATTTAATTCCCAATGATCAAAAGTTCAGGTCATGCAGAAAAGCTGTATCATTTCAGTAATATGACCTTTAATGGAAAAGGCTTCTCAGCCATCCTGGGAACCTTGCCAGCTCAGTCACGCGGTACTTGCTCTCTTATACCTTTTTAATACCTGTCTAAAACTTTTAATCATGTATTCATATATATGTGGGTGCCTGAAAGCATCCTCACTCAGACATTGCAAGCTACATACAAACTGAATCTTTCACAGCTTGGTAACATTTATCCATAGTTACTTAATAGATTTTTCCCTTAAGTGGGATAATAGCAACCTACTTTTGAAATGCACAAAATCCTCTGCAGAGTATTTCTGATGTAGTGTAAAATGTTGTAATGCTTATTCCATGCTATCTCATCCGTTAGGCCAAATAGCTGCTTCTTTTTCTATACTTAATTCTTATCCTTAATACTAAGCAATATTTCAAATTGCAGTATGAAAATACAAGTCATGTCCTTGCAGACAATATCAGGAAGAGCAAACACAAGAAGGCAGAGAGCTGGAAATCAGGAAGTGCAACAGAGAATAGGGGCTGGACTGGAAGAAGAGGTATGCTGTGCTTAAAATGAGGCTTTTGGAAAGCGGAAGAAGAGGGGGATTCCTGAGAACCTGCTGAGAAACTTGAGGGTACCTGCTGCTGCCTAGCATGAGTCAAGGGAAGCCACAGGGCTGTGGGCCTGGGGAAGCTCTGGCAGCTTCTAGGGAGCATGGTCAGCAGCCCTTGATGCGGGGTGCCTGGAGCACTTGTTGCAGCTGCCCACACTTCGGGCGGGTGATGATCCCACCTGTTTAGGTAGTGCTAGGGAGAGACCTGTGTTGGAGCTTGGTGGGTGAGAGGGAGTGCCTGGGGCCTCTCCTGGAGCTTTCCTGCAGGACGTGCACTGCTGTTGGAGAGTTATGGAAGTCAGGAGGCTGCGCAGCATCAGAGACAGGACCTCCTCAGAGACCCTACGACCTCAAGAGCCTCGCACCCCCACTGCAGTGCAGACCTGGGCAGAGCCTGTCACGAGCAGGACCACAAGTGGAGTATCAGTGGAAGGCAATGGCTGGAAGCTGGTGTCTTCCAGAACCATGTGTAAGGTTCCCACCCCACCTGACATTCACTGCCCTCAAAGCTGATGGAGAGCTGATAGTGCTTTCAAACAAAGCATCTGGACAGATGGACTCTGAGCCATGCCAGACCACCCGGAGGAAGCAGTCAGTGATAGAGCAGGCAGCTCCCTGCTTCAGGGCACAAAGGCATCCACCTGCCAACCTGACCCACTGGCTAGAGAAGTTTGCTGATTGCTGGGGGCCCAGATCAAGGATGTGCTGGAGAGACTGCCAAAGTTTGTCCGACCCTCTGACTATGACCCCCTGCTGTTCTCCGATCTGGACACCAGAGATAGCTCCAGGGGCAACCAGAAGAGGATCTATAAGCCCCAGTCTGGCAGGGGGGATAGTCAGGTGTGTGGGGTCCCAGGTGCTTTTGTCCTCAGTACTGTTCACGAGGGGAGGAGAGGACAGGTACTGAGCATCAACAACTGTGTGCAGAGATGGGGTCAGCAACACAGTTTTGGTTTCTTTCACTGTGAGACTCTCCTTGAAGATGAATGCCTGCCTGGAGAGATGGGATTCACCTCACTAAGTGGTAGTGGGGACGTACAAACTCTTGTGATTCCCATAGTTAAGTAATCATATAATCTCTAGACATCAATTTCAAAAATGTGTAAGGTCTAGAAATTAAAAGGATGTTCCAGTAGTGAAAATATGTTTGTACAGAAACAGCGTGCACCACCCCTAGAGAAAGCTTAATTTTAGCTGGAGAAAGCTTAATTTGTTAAAGAAAAATAAACTACAGACAGAAATATGATCAGAAATGTGATATGAAATTGATTTTTTTCAGTTTCCAGTGGCTTTTTGTCTTAGCTCATCCTTATAAAAGCCTCTTCTCCCTGCCATAAGTCATCAGTAGTTTTCTTTAGTCTTCAGAATTGTAAGAAGAATCAGATGAAGTCATATCACAGAAAATTAAATCACGTATTTATTGCTTACTTGTTGAGGATGAATAAGAACATAAATTAAAAACAGTAGGTTCCCAAGCCTAGAAACAACTGCCTTTTAAGTACATAATGCTTCTGTCAGCTGGGTGCAGTAATACTTCTGTACATCGGAGATCATTCTGCTTAGTGAAACATTTAGCAACTGTCAGTCCAAGTATTAAATTATAAATTCCTGAATAACCTTCATTGCTACATGGGCTAAGCAAGAACTACCTAAATGACCTCTGTCATCACAAATGCTGTGGTAAGTATGAATCCATGCTTTAGTAGAACAGCGCATTAGGTTCAATCATGCCTGACAAATGCGAACACACTCTTAAATCTAAAATGTAGTGAGAACATACAAGATGTCACTTAAGATATAATTCCGTGGAGCAAGTAAGGACAGACCCAGTTTTTCCAAAATCACCTGCTGTGGCAGTAAGATTTTCTTGTTGATTGTTTACTTTCAAATCCAAGTTGCAAGGCACAACTCGACCTTCATTTGGCATTAACCAATAATTTAAAGTAAGAGTTGGGGTTTTTTTCTTGTGTTGAAGGCAGCTTAAAAACTTACAGGCTTACCCTGTTTCTGAAGAGTGAAAAAACACCAAAAAAGCCCCTAAACCCCCCAGAAACAGAGAACTTGCATGGTCTGAGATTCTCTCACGGCACAGAGGCACTTCGGGCCAGCATCATTTGATACAGTCCTCATGGATAGAGTAATTATTGCTGAGAAAATATTCAAGTTACTGTAGGTCCAAACTTCATTCAAAGAGCAATAAAAGAATAAAGATAGACGTTATTTACATTGAGCTATCTAAATTAGTTACTGCAATCATGATTTGTCTGCTTTTTTCATCTTACAGGATAGGTTCTTAGACTCACAGTTTTCCAAAGAAAGAACTAAAACATGTAACTAATGATAGGCTTTTTTAGATGCAGAATCAGCCATTTATGAGCAAGCCTCTGACCCAAACCAATTATCTTGTAAAATACTTCTAGTTTCCTTAATAAGAGGAAAGTTTTATTTCAGAAAGTATACTTGTTCTGGTTGGAGCGTATGTTCCAACATTTGTTTTCAGAGGGCAGATGCAAATTTGTCTTTTTAAATGAAAACTATACAGAGTGCTCCAGCAGTTCTTTAATTTCCTACGTAAGTGCATTTAAAACAACTGATCTACTCAGAGGATCTCAAAAATTACTTAAATTGACTTATTCAGGCAGGCTTCTGGGAAAGATAATTCTTGAAGGCCAGAAGGACAGAAATTATTTGATACTGTAACTTGAAAAAAGTTCCTAAAATCAGCTATACCCAACTGGGTAGCAAAAATTGAGTAAGGAAGATTTTGAGAAAGTTGTTTCTTCTGTTGTTTGATCTTTTTGTTTCTTTTTGTTGTTGTTGGTTTGTTTTTGTTTTTTTTTCCTAATACATGCCACAAGGAAAACTTACTGAAAGAATATCCTTGTTCATGACAAAAATATGGCTCCAAGTACACAGACTATGAGAGATCATAGAACCACACAAAACTGGCCAAGATGAATTCAGACACTATATCAAATAATCAGTTTCTAGCCAAATTGTATACACTTCAGCCAAGAATTCATCAATGCTGCAGGACAATAGGTAGCATATTGCCTAAGCAAGGCATTGAACTGATGATCCTTACATCTGAGGTTTTTTCTGACTTCAGCTGGGCAGTGTATGATCTTAAATAGAAATTTTCACTTCTCTTGCTCTGGCTACTTCAGTTCTACACATGGGAACAACTCTTCCAGGCAGGGGTGATCTTACAGTGCAGTTGTCATGTTTGGTGTAGTGGAACCCCAATTTCAAGGTATTCTCATAGAAGCTGCAACAGAATATTCTGGACATGTTCCAAAATTGAATTTAATCCAAGACAACAGAGATAATATACCAAAAACACACTCTCTAAAAGAGTGCCTCCAGTCAGAAAAGTCCAAGTTGAACCCAGCATTCTCAGGTGCTTAATGAAGAAGTAAACCATTGAGTTACGAAATAAAGTAGGAGAACAAAAGCTCTATTGCACAGGAACATAAAAAATAATCCTGCTAAATGGGAAGGAATAAATTTGAAGTCTGATGCAGAAAAGGCAACAAAAAGGTATTCAACAAGAGAGCTCACAAAGAAAAGATGAAGGGGGAAAAAATTTCAAAGGCCAATCAGGTAGCAGATACAGAACTCCTTACACAGGGAGCGGCCCAATACTCCAGGGTCATTAGGGCTGTAGCCTGTACAGTTATTCAGTTTTCTCTGTAAAGGAAGTAGGAAGTCAAGTAGTAAGTGATACTGATATACCAGATCCACATTTACAAGCGAAAAAAGGACAAAACAGTTTGTGTTACTACATTGTCAGGTGGTTTCCAAGAAAACTGCATGCAAACCTGCATTTACCTCTCCTGTGAAATTCTGTGCCTATCTCTTCACTTTCTTTACCACATAACCCTCGTGCGTCTCACCAGAGCGCTCTCAAGATGCTGTTAGTTTCAGCGGGCTCCTTGACTTAGTCACCCCTCTCTGCTATTGAAACTATTTCATTTGGATCAGATAAAGACCACTCATTTCTCTAGGAGAGAAGCCACTGGCTACCCTAGCTGATTTCATTGCTAGACTGGGTTATTCACAGTAGTATTTCTTTATTGTGAATAACACAGTCTTGCAATGAAATCGCCTAGAGCAGACCTCTGGGAACTGAGATGCACAGAGCCAGAAACACGAATAAGACTTAACTAATGTATATTGATAGAGTACTAAGGTCTACAGAAGAATAAAAGTGTTATGGAGAATTTCCTAGAACTTAAATGAGTCAATTACACACTGTTTTAAAGAGCATTAGTTTATTATCTATTCTCCATGTGTTACCTCGGAAACAGTCTAATTATATACAAAAATTTGGAATGTCAAATAAATGCTGATCAATAAAAACATTTCATAGCTGTTGACAAGGGAGTATTTCTAAACAAAACCAAAACAATCATAAAGGTTTGATTCTGTGTGTTGCTTATTGCTATGTTTGTGTTCATAGAATGCTTTCAAGTATATACACATTTTTTTAACTCCAGTCTAAAAAAACCCTGAAAAATATTTACATAAATAAATAGGTGGGAGACTTCATCTTTTCATTATATCCGTTGAACTGATTCTTTAATGAACTATTAAGAATAGAAAGAATTAAGAGCTTTTATCAACTCATTGCCATGCTGTATAACTTAGGCTGCTGATGAATTTTATTCTATTCAAAATGTAGTTTAAGATGCATTCAAAATGAAAAGTGCTGATATTGTCTCTCCTCCCACTGAATCCTGTCAGAAGTAGTTAAGGAGACATCCTTCTCCCACTCTCTGCAAGATCATCTAGTTTGACATGTGTTTATCTCTGCACCCAGACACTGAAGGAACAAACACATTTCAGTCCACTGAAAACTCCAATATTTACTGAGTAAAATCAGAATAATCCGTGTTTTATTAGATAGTTAATTTGCTAATTTACTGAAGACAAGCTTTGGCCAAGTATTTCCACAAGAAGTACTAAACTTCATGCTATAAATTTCTACTTCTGCAGTTCTACCACAGCCAGACAGTTTTTGGTAGAATTTTCCTGTGATACATAAATCTGAAAATTAAGTGACATAACAGCATTTAAAACGTCTGTTATGATTAAAGCAAAATACAATACAGTATAATTCCTCAGTGATATATTTAAATGTACTACAAAATGTATACAAAGTCAGTCCAAGATCAGTAAAGAATCAGTTCTGCTTTTTGGACTTTTCCCTTCACAAAGATACAGGTTATGTAGAAGACCAAGGAAATTTAGGATTTGTTTGTATGCATTCCCTTTGAAAGGCAGTGTGTGGTAAAAATAACGTGATTCAAAGTAATGAACATGTGATGTGAACATTTTGCATTTTCAATAAAAAAATAGAAACTAGAAAACAACAAAACGTGTCCTAGAAGGGGAACACTGAATCCTGTCATTATATAGCTATGTTTCTCATTCTTTTCTTTGAAGATTAACAGCACACAGAAAATAAGTGAATTTTATCAAAATACAGCACACTTCTGCTAATATATCAAAAAAATCATTTTCTATGTAAATATTACTGAAAATCAACTAAAAATAATATACAAAGAGTTGTTAAAGGGTTTCAGTTAAAATTATTAGAACTATACACAGTACAATAAGCAATAGTCAACATCTTTGAAAGAAGTGCAATAATATTGGAGTTCACTTATTGAAAAAGTACTGAAGTACTGCCTGTTTAGATCGCTAACTATCTGTAATTCCTCTCCCTTCCAGGTCATTGTCTCAAAACTAAAGGAGGCTGGTGTTTTTGCTAGCTTTATTAAAAGCATTTACTTTGATACACATGGGTTGAAAAAAGCAACTTATACCTGTTTCAAACTATCAACTTATACGTAATTAAAAATGAACTGCAATAACTGAATATTGCTCCAATGACAGGCTAATCACAGCCCTGATTAAGAACAGTTATTGGTCTTCTATGGCACTTTTCCCTGGTCCGTAACAACCGTGTATTAATTACCACTGCAGATTATGCAGTCTTTATTCAATTACAAAGCAGAAAGAGAAAAATAATGTTTCTGGTAAACAAAATTAATAGAAGCAAAATTGAATATTTTATACAGTAATAAGGAACAAAGGCAGCCTGTGGTAAATCACTATTACATTAATATAGTTAGAAACCCTTTAATGACTCTGAAGTGTCTAGTTCACATTTAATGTTACCTGTAGGAACAGCCCTTTAAGAAACTTCATTACGAACCGGTGGGTTGTTAGTACACCCTCCCTTTGCTCTTCATCTCACCACAGCAATTCTCCACCACTGTTCAAAGTTTCACAAACTTGCTTTGGTTACCTAGCTCCATGCGTATGGTTTCCTTTTTGATTAACAAGGCAGTGCAAAGGCCAAACAATATCAAGATGTTTTTCATAACCCTTCCTGCATAATTTACTCTGTTGTGTTTGTTTAGATATACATTACAGGTAACAACCTTAAAAACTGGCCATTTCAGTTTCATTTTTTAAATCTATAAAGTTAAATGGAATACTTTTTATAAAGATGAAAGTATCACCATTTGCACAAAATTGGGGATTTCCATGGCAGAGAAAAACCTCTGGGCACATTTCCACAGTACAGTTGAAAAGATTATGTATGCAAGAAAACCCAACTAAACATGAATCACATGTGGCAAATGAATATTCCATGACTACAATAAGAACAAATCCTGTAGAATATCACAAATTTGTAGTTACAATCTTCCTAAAAATCACCATAAGCTTTTGTTGCATTTTCTATTGGTAGACGTAACACTCCAGAACTAAACACTTTTTCTGCTTTCCTGATTCCAAATTTGGATAGCAGATAATCGTTTCACCTGACCTTTATTCTGTCCAACCAGCACCACCTTCCATCTACCCATTCATCTATACAATGTGCACATAGCAAAGCCAACATTTCATATCTCCTGTCCATATCTACAGAAGTGGTTTCAGCGTAACACATGAATATCTGGTGAATAAAAATAAAGGCAATAAACAGCTACAGGACAGACAGCCCTGCCATCTGCCCCTTGGCTACAACCAAGGCTTTGCAGAGTGTTGCACAAAGTTTGGTAATGTGTATGAATTATCCAAAAATAAACCTACCATCTGTACAAAAAAACAACACAGGTTTGTTCTTGGAGGAGTGATCCTTAGATTGCTATAATGCTTAAAAACAAGTTTATTTACCATATGCATTTCCAAAATTATTTCCTGTATGTTCTATACAGTGGTTTTTCCCCCTTTAACCACAAGTTCAGTATTTTCTGTACAAATTTTGATCATAATTCTTTTCAAGCTCCTTTCATGTATAAAAATAGGCAAAATATTCAGTTTCATGTAACTGCTTCAATGAATCCTGCCAGCTTTTCCCCCAATCCACAGTATTTATGAAGAAACTTCTCGCACAATGATGAGTTCCACTGCATTCTGAAAAGTCTTTAGCAAAGATACTGCTTGTCCATGATCAATATTGATGAAGCTGTATCCATTAGCCTAAAAAGAAATATTTAAAATTGAAAATGACAGTCTGATATACCATGTTAATGAAACATCTCGTGTTTCGCATTAGTTTATTTAAACTTTAAAATAACCAAATTCATAAGAATGCAAACAATAAAACACTGTAGATTTGCAGATTACATTGTTGATGTGAGTTGAACATGTACCTGTATGCTACAAGAAATTAAACTACTGTGTTAGACTTGGAAGAATTTTGTCCCAAAGGTATTGCAAATAACCAGAAGAGAAAACTGAACTTTAAACTATTAACACCAGACATCTAATTTATCAGTCTTAATACAGCCACACCAAAAAAAAGCAAATGCAGTACAAATGATACATCCTAGTTTAAATACCAGAATATTAGAAATAGCATTTGTGATAAATTAAAACTATTGAAGACTTTAAACAATAAAACATTAATGGCATTTGGAGCCATTTTAGGATGTGATACCTTCTAAGGTCACTCCCAGCTTGAATTTTCCTATGACTCTAAACAACGTTGTCATTCTTGGGGCAGGTTTGGCTTGGCCAACACAGGAAGGCCTTAGTGGCCTACAAAAGACAGGGAAAACATGGCTATGGTTCAACTTCTCAGGGTGTACTACTGCAAATTCATGTTCAGTCTGGGTGGTAAAGTCTTGTAGAACGACAGATTCATCCAGTTTAAACAGTGGCTTCCAGCTGTGCATCCCACCTTTCTCCCTACGCTACTGTCCCTCATGTGGCAACAAGCTAAATCCTTTGTTACTGTAAGAGCAGTGGTTTTTAAATCTGTGTAGGGAAATCTTTCTCTTTGCAGAGAAAGATTTACCTATAGACTGTTCAGAGAGCAAAAATGGCAATAACCCTTCCAAATCATTGTCTGTACAGAATGGCTTGCCCTAACCTAATACACAACAGTATCTTAAGACTTACATGCAATTATCTAGTCACCAGTCATGTAGAATATTTTTATTAGACATGTATTAGACATGCATTATAATATGCATGCCTAATACATGTTTTACAGAGTATGTTGCAAAATCAACCATAGCAAAATCATTTTGGCAGAGATGATATTCAGTCAAAAACTGCAGAAGTTGTCTAGGCAGCAACACGACACAGTGGGACTGTCATTACATCACTGGGATTATCACAGGTATAAAGAACATGCTGTTGCACAAAAAAATTCTCTTGGTTATAAGAAATTAAACAGCCTGGCATTGTCTAAGCATGCAAATGCAATTTCTCCTTCAGCTGTTTTTCAAACTTTGAATTCCTCATTAAACAAAAAGCAAAACTCAAGCAGTGTCAACATGACAAAAAAAAACTTCATTATAAATGTCACGCAGACAAATCAAGTCCCATAAAAACTGTAATAAACCATTAAAGCAAAAGTCATCTTTCACACATGCTTGACTCTGTAAATATAACAAATACGCTACCAGTAATTTCAGAGGTTTAACATGCTTCTTGTTCCTGTATGTTATGTTGGAGGGTTAAAGTCACCTACATCAGTAAGAGAACTAGGACCTTTCTTGACCCAGTGAGGAAGAACAAGCATAGAATTATTTACCATGCTTTGAAGCAAGCCAGCTTTTAGTTGGAACAACTTGATCTCAGTTTAGTTTACTTGTGTGCTTTTTGGCTTTATCTTCTATTTGAAGGATTAGGCTGTGTTTTCAGTTTGGCTTTGTTTTAGAAAACTGTTCACAGGATGTTGTGGTTCAATTGAGACACTGATGGGTTCTCTGTTGTTTTCTTTGTTTGCTTGTTTTTGGAAAACTGAAATGCAGTGGAGTCAACTATCAACATTCTCATACAACTTTAAGGATGGCTACGACACTGGTCAAGTGTCCTGTTAGCCTGTTTCCCTAAGAAAGTAAGGCTTATATAATCCCATTGTCCCTTTCCCTGACCCCTTCCCACACAGCTTATGAGCTCATTAGACAACTTCAAACAAATCTGATACAGAAGAGGTCTGAGAGGTACCGACCTACTGCCGAAGAGAACTGCAGAGCTGCAGTCCAGAAGCCATGGTTCCTGAAGCAACCTACTTGGCTCACCCGCTGCAGATGGGGCACAGCCAGGAGGTACCTGCTGTGACCAGCCAGGTATCAGCCTGCCAAGAGGCAGCTTGTGTCCAGCCTGTCAGCTGGGGAGGGGCAGCACAGGCTGGCAGGAATGGCCGGGCCGGGGGGGATGTAACTGCAAGATGTGGCCCTGGAGAGAGCTTGGGAGGGGCAACTGCTGGTGTCCAGACAACACATTATTCAGAACGCCGTGTGTGAATGACCACCGTGTTAGGTGTAAGAAAATGAAAAGCATCATCCCAGGATGTAAGAACGCTTCTGGAAAAGGTGTTGGTAATCTATCTAAAAATTAAACATTCTGCTTTTAGAAAAGGGTCAAACTAAAAATGAACGGGTATACCACATAGGCTAGTTAATTAGATGACCACAGTACCTGAATTATTTTATCTCCAGGCTGCAACAACTTAGATGCTGGTCCTTCTGGTTGCACTCTGGTTACAAATATACCCTTGAAAAACAGGTGGGAAACATTTTTGACAACTTATTTCATGAATAGTAGGGTAGAATAAAATAGATGTAATTCAAACCGTTTTTTTAAATTTTCCATTCCTCAGTAGAAAAGAATAAAATACTATTCTATAGGTCTACTGGCTTTTGTGACTGCCTTCCTTTTCTGATGTTAAATCCAAGAGAACTATCTTTAAAAGAGTACTGAAGGACAAATTATGATCTGCCCTTGTTTATTTTGGCAGATGTATATGTCAGGATGAATTATCATCCACCAGAAATGCTGTAGGCTAAATCATGTTCTCTTTTAAGAGGCTTCCTAACTGTAAGCTCCAGAATTCACTATCTCAAATCTGTTGACTAATATCTGGAACTGTGCATGAACTAGTCAGCTAGAATAATCCTCTGTGTTACCACGTGACCACTGTAGTCACCTACCACCTTGATTTTTTGTGTCATTTGTCCAAAATTTTCTCCAGTCCTGGAGTTTAGTGGTTTGGGGAATACCTTCCCTGCCCCCCTTTGCTAAGCACTAGAAACATTATTAATCAGAATGATTTTAAGATGCATTAGTATAAAATACTCACATCATCTTCAGGTCTGAATGGATTCCCTCTACCACCAACACCTCCTGATATACTAAATCCAAGTTCTGGATCCTTGTCAATTCTCACTCGAATCTAGGTAGTTACAAATCAAAGTTAGATGAACTGGCTAAAAATCTGCATTCAAAGCTACTGTAATGAAATTATTACTGAGGAATTCAGGAGAACAAAACCTTTAAAAAGAAAAAAAACTCAAAAGCATTTGTCACAGTTCAAGAGAATATTATATCTCATAGTATTAATTCAGAACAAGATTCCAATACAAGAGCATCATGCACCATTGCACAAAAGTTTTATTCCAATAACACTATTATTATAACCATAGTTCATGTAGGCTTTAAATTCAGAGATATTTTGATACTATGGAAATTAACGCACCCCAGGAAATATATGTTCGTATGAAAGAACCTGTTCCTCCTATTTCTTTGCTGAATTTTAAAAATCAAACCTCATTCCTGCTTTCACTGTAAGTTCTACGTAGCCAACACTGTCTCCCCTGTCTCTTGTCAAAATAGTTGACTAGAAAACTTATTTTACACAAGAAGTGGACATTCTTATTCTAGCACAGAATGGAAGTGTAGTACTCAGTATTTTCTCAAAAGACTTGAAACAATACAGAGGAAACATCCTGTGTCCAAGAATATAAAAGAAGGTTGCCACAGTGAAAGAGCCATTAATTTGTATAAGGATTTCTTATGCACATCTGTCTACCATAAATAAAGCTGATAATTATCAGGCATTCATCAGATGCTCACTTTTTTTTATCCTGGCTTTTGTTTATGGATGCACATTTCTACATTTGCAGGTTTTTGAACCATTCTGTATAGCAATGAATAGATGCAAAGTTCTAAGTTGTACTGCTGCTTTGTATTTTTTCAGTTACTAGATAATAAGTCTGTGATCAATAAATATAGTTGAGAAATAAATTTCTACCTCAGTAAAAAGATACAAGCTTGAAGTTCTGATACATTCTGTTAAAAATCTACCACATATCTCTCAAAATGTTCACATAAAAAGTAAAAATTGCTCAAAGCTCAAAGGAATGTGTGATTTCAGTAGCAGGATCACACTGAGATAATGCTGTCTTCTGCTGAAGACAAATTCCTGTATGACTTCTGTCACCATCTACAGAGAAATGGTAATAAACAAAAACAATCTAACAATTCAGTGCCATGGACAGATGTCATCGCTGAGTTAGATTTTATTCTTACCTCTTGCTTTGCCAACTCATGGCTTTGTCTGGGAGAACACTGGGACGGGGCATAGGGAGGATGGTGGGCAACTTTCAACATCAGGTAATCAATTAATTGCTCCCTAGACGGATGTCTTGCTACTGATGATTGAGGAGGGAGATGATGGACTTGGCTGTAGTTTGTCTGAGGTCTCTGAGGCTGGCACATTTGTCCATTTGTCAAAGGTAACTGAATAAAACATGAATACTCAGTGTCATACATTTTATAAGCAGCAATTCTCAATTCCTCCTTTATTATTTCAGTATTTCTCATACTTGACTGCCTTTATTTTTAGGAACATTACTAAAACTACCCTTCTGGATCATGTACAATTATACCAATCTTCCTTACAGTCATCAGCTCTGACCTACTGACAACAAATCTGAAAAACAAAAACTTACTCTGAGTGCTAATTTACTAGAACAGGCTAGATAGTCTTTGTTTTTACCACTTGTTTCGCTGAGTTTTCACAACCATTATTTTCTAGCAGTGCAACTGACAGTATTGACACTTGGCTGATAACTGTTATAATTAGCACTTTTATTGCATAAAATTCAGAGATTTTGTAATAATTCCCAGTAGATCATACACAAACAATCCCACACATCTAGCAGACAGAAATTGTATGCTCTCCAAGCATCTTTTGGTGACCACTTGACAAGAAAACCTGAGCAAAATCACATAGAAGCTCAAGATTTTAATATCAAGATTGTAATGGATATAACATTTTTCTTTTAACGCATCTGTCACTGATTTGATAGCTATAATGATGGCAAAGAGCAGTAAGATACCCAACTGGCCAGACATACAGTGCATTCAAACCATGTCAGTGAGGGTGATGCTGGAGATGACATTACTGAAGCCTGAGTTACTGTTCAGCTCTGCAATGAGATAGGCAGCCTTTTCCCTCCTTGCCCACGTGTCTCGCACGTTTACCCAGCCTAAGTAATCCCTCTTCCATCTGTATGATTCCCACATTCCAAAAATGCTACATTACAGGCTAGCATACAGACTTCTGCTTGCCACCATTATCGCATTAGTTATAGGATACAAGGATATTAAAATTCTTAATATTACAACTAGCTGTGTAAATTTCAACCTTTAACCATGCCATGTAAATGGACACATATCAGAATCTATTCTGTTAAGATGAGTTTTTTATGTCAAAGTGATTCTGGGAAACATTAATGTATGTATTATATACATTTTTTTGTTTATTTACAGATCAGATGTATTCAATTTACACCATTTTCTACTGTCTCTTCTGAAAACCTAAAGCACAATAGGGAAACTATTTTTTGTTGCACTGCCAGAGGTAGAGTTTACATGTTACATGTATTAACAACTATGCAAATTTCCAATAGCCAATATCCATAGAAATGCAAATGAAATTACTGAAGTTATAAAAAGAAAATCAATTGCTGCATCATAATAATTTACAAGCATCTATTTAGTTTAATTGTAGTAAGTCCTGCCTGTATAGATGGTCCTTAGAGATGAATACAGAATGTCTCCTTCAAATTATAGTTTATCATCATCATTTCATCACAACAGATTTCAAGTTCATCCTTTAAAAGGTTTAATCAGCTTCAGATTGCTTTCCTGAAATCATCTATCATATTCCAATTTTCACTTGCAATTATGTCTTTGGCTGAAAATTTCTTCTTTCAAAAGCCCCACTAAAGAAAAATTAGAACTATTCCTCTTTGTATAGCTAACTATTTTTGTCTTCCAAAAAGAGGATGCTACTTCATTTATGCCACCTTCAGTTTTTAAAGAAGCCCCAGTTCCAACTGCCAGTTCAACATATGTTTCTACTACTACTAAAAAAAAAAAAAAAAGAAATCCTTATAAATAATAAGTATATCCTATCAACGGTGCCATGTAGATAATTACCTGCACAGCTATTTTTTTCATGCTGTCTAGAGGAACATCTTTGAGATTAAGTGTGGCAGATGAGTAATTCTGCTGTCCTGAAATGAATACTTCATCCTGGCATTGGTCTCCTGGAGTAGAAGCCTGGGGATGCTTTAAACAGAGCAGAGCAGTAAAGACAACTGTCTTCATATAATTCAAACTAAAAAATTCTCATAAGAAGCCCAGAATAAAACATTTTATGGGCTTTATTGTTCTTTATCTTCTTTGATTAACTGGTACCTTGTTTATGTAGAAAATCTTACTAGCCAAGACACCATACCCATAAAATATTGAAGGATATTTACAAAAACTAGCAACTGCAGAGGTGTCTTTGATCACCAATAAACTGATAAGAAAAGACAATAAACGCTAAGGACTGCCTATTCAAGGATTCTTATGGTTAAAAGAAGTCTTCTATCAACTTTATCCTGATCATTATGGATACCATAACATCACTGAGGATGCTCAGAGTTAGAGTAATTTCCTCACATTTTCTTACAAACTAAAATATTTATCTTCTTGAATGACTACAGTATCTTACAGTACAGTTTACAACAGAATTTGTTTTGGGGAAGAAAAAGCATTATAAGATTTTGTTCAAACCTTTATCAACCTAGGTTAAATTCATAATGGTAATCTCTTGTTCACATAGGTACAATGAAACCAGACAGTTTTACATATGTTCAACCATTCATAAAAGCCAGTTAGAAAACTCCATGGCATTAAATTGAAAAGCCTTTCAGTAAGTTCAAGGCATATGAAGTTTAAGGCAAAGTATTTGATTTAATGCCTATAAAAAAGTTCCAGCACATAAACAATATTATTTCTATTGAAAGCACTGCCCATAGGTAAAAGAGTATCAATATAAGGACACCTCTCACAGTTTATTCTTTCCCCCTCTATATATTGCAATAGGCTCCTGTAGGTACTCACTCGAACAATGTGCACACCAGAACCTCTTCCGTCTGCAACACTCAAGGCAACACTACCCTGGCTGCCATGCAGATCCCTAGAGCTGCCATAGTGAAAGCTGCTAACTGCAGCGTAATTGGAATTAAAGGACCTAGACAGCATGCTCTGAATAAAGAGGGGACAGATTTAACACAGAAATTAGTGCAGCATGCATAAACCACAGGACATGTTATACATAGACTAATACAAACATATTCCATTGTCATGCAAGATAAAAACCATGCAAGAACAGTACCACTGTGGTGTATAAAAGACAACTCAGTGACCCCTGTTTGCCTTTATTTACTGTAAATCAGCATGCAATCAGCAGTTAACATGCAGAATTACATGTAAATAAAGTCATTCAAATGTTCACGTGTCTGGAAAAACAACAAAGGTGCACAGCTTATCAAAATTTCTAGGTTTTCATTAAATTTGCAATGTATCAAATATGTTGTAGAAAGAGAAGCTAGCAGTCAAGATAAACAACTGTGAAAAAACATCTAATTACCAGTTATTTTGTCTCATTTCCACCCCCCTTCGCCCCTCCATTACTGGTGCAGTACAAAAAAATTTACAGAGAGATTTGACTGTTTGACGGGTTTTCTTGCTATGCATTCCAAGAACACTTCATTCAAGAATGTGAACATGAAAGAGAGGAGTTAAATAAACCTTGGAGTCCAGTCCTGCACCATTGCAGGCAATCAAACAGGTAACATGAGCTCAAGGACAGAAGTGATAGTGGTTTGGTTTTGAGCTTCATTACCTCCTTGCAAGCCTGACCTCTACAATATTGGTAAGGGTAATAGAAAGCAAGCAACAGACATTACTGTCTTGCCACTGTGGACTATTGTAGTTGTAAGAACAAAACAAAATAAAAAGACTGCACAAAAGAAGAAAATTAAAATCCTCCACGGGCCACCTGATAACAGAAACAAACCTATCTTGAAAAAGTGACAAAGACTCATGAAAAAATGTGATCATATTAGAAGATATACCACAAAGCATCAAAACCCAGCAAATTCAAAGTGGGGATTTTTGTTTGTTTGTTGGGGTTTTTGTGGTTTTTGTTTGTTTGTTTATTTGTTTTGGTTTTTTGTTTTGTTTTGTTGGGGGTTTTGTGGTTTTTGTTGTTTGTTTGTTTATTTGTTTGGGGTTTGTTTTTTTTGTTTTGTTTTTGTTTTTTGTTGTTGTTGGTGTTTTTTTTTAATAAGGTTTCTAATTTTTCTAAGTAAAAAAATAGAAAAAAAGTTTGAAGTCTGTATCATTTGACTAAGATACTGCAACAACTCTTACATGAATAAATATGTTTTGGTGTTTGTTGACTACTTATACTAAACTGATTTTGAAAATAGTCACTAGTCCCCAGACAGATATTTGCTCTTTCATACTACCTTTATCTTGTGAAACTAAAACTAGTTTAATAATCAAAGTCATATGCCTCTGCATATTCATACTCCCCAGATGCTCTGGTAGTGCAGTCATTGGAAACTCCCTTGCAAAACAGTATTTACTGGCAATACTTAGCTTTTCCTGGCCAAGGCTCTTGGATAACCTCTCAATAGCATAGTTAGCTTACTTCATGCTCCTCTTTTACACCTACCCTGTTCTCTAGTCAATGGATTTTTCAAGCTTCCAGACAAGTCTCCAGAGGCTTTCCCCAATCTTGGGAGGGGAAGACTGTGCTGGGCATTCAAGTCTCTCTCTACTAAACATTCAATCTGAGCTTACTGCTGCTTTAAGTGTCAGGCCAAACACCCAGATGAAACTGCAAAAGCCAGTTTTCCTTAGCTCCTTAGTGCCTCAAAGCATCTTCTTACAACTCTTCTCAAAACAGCCTCTTTAATTAACCATGTAGTTTTCTTCCCCCACTTGTACAGGCAACTCCCTGAAGTATGATTACAAAGGCTCTTGTATCTCTCCATCTTCTCTAAGTGGCAAAAAGATAAAAATAGAAAGAATGCATGGTGAGACTAGACAGTTGTCTTCTGAAAGTGTCTCTATCAGTCCATCTTACTGTAAAGGTCCCTAGATCCACTAAATTAATTCTTCTTAGAAGGACCCAAACAGATGGCAAATAGTGACAGTCTAAATCCAGATTTGTACTTACAATCTGAGATAGAATATATGCAATAAAAAGCAGAACTTTATTAAAATTTGTAGAGGTATGAACTTGTTCAACAGGAATTAAGATTTCAGTTAACTCGGTTTAGTGAGCTTCAAGGTGATTACATAGCCTGAGAGTAGTTTTATTCAACAGTTTATAAAATCTCCTTTCTTGGTACAGACTTTTTCTGAAGTACAAAGAAATGTTTATGCAATTGATGTAGGGAAGACATGAGAAGTACTGCTGACACCATTTTTCTCCTTCTCTACATTGGGCACAGTGTCTCAACACTAAATTAGGAAGAACCCACAAATAAAAACTGTACAGAACAAACACTCTTTAAAGTCACAGAGCTGTAAGAAAGTTTTAGTTTAACACCAGAAGAGATTCCTAGGGACAAATCTAGGAAGTATTTTCCTCTACCTATTTTTAGCTGGAAAGAAAGAAACTGAGGCATTTGGAGTGTGAACAGTATTCCTCTTAATTTTGTTTCTCAGTATGAGCACAGTGAAGGTTGTACATTTCCTAGGGAGATTCCTGAAGACTGCTGCACCAGAGAAGATATTTTGGAAATCTGAATATGCAGATGCCATTAAACCCCTTGATTTTAATTCAAATTTATTAAAAATTAAATATGGAACAAATGTATGGTCTAAACTTCAGATTAAATATGAATATTAATTCCAAGTACAACTTCATTCCCTACCCGATTTGCTATGGTGTCTTAGGGCATAACGGCCTGCAAAATGATAATTCAAATATCTGAAGCTCGAGAAATCTCATTTCAGTTACTCTAAACTGATATACACTAACCAATACACATGCCGTGTTCCACTATATTTTTGTGAAAGCTAATTTTACTAGAAATCAGTTATTCAACTGTGAAGAACATGTATTAAAAGCCACAACATCAAGAAAAAATTACTATGTACAAAGTAAAAAACAATATTTAGCATATAAATCGGGATTTGTAGTCAAAATCAGCCTCTAATGGAACCAGTTCAGATGCAGGCAGCTAGGAGCACAGTTTTGATGTTTACTTACATTATTTTTCAATGCTAAGAGTCAGAACATATTCTCCATTTTGCAGCTTACAAGAGAATTAACAATTTCAGATTTCAAAAAGGTGTCTCCAGGACACATTTACTTAGGTGCAAGACAATAAACAGTAGAATTTACCTAGGAGAAATTCTATTGGATAATACTGTTTTAAGTCTGGCTGGAGTCTGTCATGACAATCCATGAAATTCTGGTATATAACAGGAACTATACAAATTTCAAGTATCTGCAGGGAACAAGACTCTGCCTTCTACTTACCTTGGAATAGCCTTAACTGGTAACCTAACTGCTAAGCCCAAGTATTAGCCTATTTATTTAACAGTACTTAGAATCAATTGCCAGCTAGAGGTGGGCATAAGTTATCCTTTGAAGCTGTATTAAATGTCTAGAAATCCCTTTAGTTTCCATCCTCACCTTGACTATCTAAGATTCCTTAGAAAAGGTTTGCTCAAGGTACTATAGAACATTCAAAATGCCTAAAATTAATGCTTTAAGTAAAAATAGCTTTGCTTGAAATATGATAGAGTTCTAGCAAGGTATCAGTTTATCCCAAAGAACTTAAACATTATGAAACTATTCCTCTCATGAGAGAGGAAAAAAAAAGGCATGAATTTACATCTCTGATCCCACAAAAAAAAAAAAAAAGTATCTTCAATAAGTGACAGCATTCCTACTGAAGAGATACATAGGGAAAATTACATATAATTTAAATTCTACTGTCATAAAATATTTGCATGGTCAGAACTTTTGTTGTTTACACTCTAAATGCACAAGAACTTAATTCACTTTAAATTGTGATGTATTGACTTCCAAACTCCACAAAATTTCATTTTAACACATTGATGGTTCAATACTCCATTCAAAATGGAAAGAAAAAAAAAACCAAACTAAACTAAAATAAAAAATTAAAACTAATAACTACTGAATGGATAGCATTCCTGTAATTTATCAGTGTCAAAATATTCTTCAGGTTATGATCTTATAAACACTTAAGCACTTAACTTTATGTGTGCACTGACCCACTGAAGTTACATATTGAAGCAAACTTAACTTGGAGAATATCTGAGCCCATATAAATTTAAATATTTTTGCATGTTAGGTATACACTGTAAAAACTTAATTCCAGAAAAACTTTGAAACTTTGATTAAAAGTGTAATTCTCTATCAACACTGAAACATTTGGTCTTTTTTCTTTTAATAAGGCACTGTACACTGGCAACTTTAAGAATAAAGCTACCTATTCTGATTTCTGAATTGAAAAGTCGGAATCAAACTTTATGATCTCTCCTCTGAAAGCTCTGCATTTTAGAGAAATAGTAGATAAAGTAGATAAAAAGAGAGAGGACTTAATTTCAGATACAGTTAGAACTGAAAGCAAACATGCACCCGATGAAGTCCCAAGAAATCCACAACAAAAAAAAGAATATACACATATCTAAGGAAAGGACAGAGTTGGGCCCAGTAACTGTTTCTACCTACTCGGCACATAGAAATATAATAGATATTTGCAGATAACTGTTGCAGGTATTTATTATTGCAATTTATGGATGAGAAATTCCTCTACCACACATTAAAATATACGTGACACTGGTGTTTTTACACAGGCAGTATTTTAGTTTAAATTCCTAAATCAAAACTTCCAGCAAGACTACTACTGAAGACTGCTGCATGGTATCAGGTAGTAAAATTGGCAAATCACACTTAAAAAGGAAAATATGCTGAAAAGTATTACTGTACTTAAACTCACCTGTACACTAAAACTTATGAGGTTGGGGGTGGGGCAGACTTGACTGCATGCTTTCCAACAGCTTACATATATAACCACTAGAGTGCAGCTTGACATTTAAATAAGCGCTTTTCTCTATCCCACAATAAAATATGCATTGCATCAGGTAAACAAATTGTTTCTCCTGAATATATGCAAAATTTCTTTGCACAAATGGTCTCAAACTGTTTTGACCTCCCATCAACCAGATGGATAATTTTACTTGATCAGTGTATGCCCCCTTACAGCTTGTCAAAGGGTTTACAAGTGATGGTTACTTGTCTGGAACTCATTGTTAACCAGTTTTGCTAGACTTAAAACTATATTGTATCTTTCCTAGTGGAAAATACATTCTTGAAAGTTTTTTTTTCCTACATACATCAGGTAAAAAGGCCTGATCAATAAAACAAGAGCTACCTTCTCCAATTTGTCCAACAAGCAGACACTGTTTATTTAATTGAGGTCACCCTCCCTCTTTCTCTCTCTCCCTCCAGTTACTAAATTTTATAAAAACAAAATAAACAAGTACTTCAGGAACTTTTCAAAAAGAAAAAAAAAAAACAAAACACAACACAACAAATCCAAAAGAACAATCCCCAAAACCCCACTACACCCTCTTTCTTAATAAGCACTGGATAGAAATAACAAACATGATTAAATTTAATACTGCTGTGTATAACTACAGGCAAGAAGATAAGAATTAAACATTCCTCATAAGGCTTAATTTTGTATACCTCTTTTTGTCAGTGTTGTGTCTTATGCTTTAAAAGAAGGAACGGCATTTTAAATCCATGAAAGCTTTGTCAAAGCAATTTCCAATAAATGTTCCTTAAATAAGCTCTGTAATTGAACTTGTTCCTTAAATGAGTTCTGTAATTACTGAAAATTTTTCAGACTTCAAAACGTTTCAGAAGTCTAGTTTATAGATTAAGGCTTCACTCCCGCCCGCTCCCCCCCTCCCCAGCTCAGCTAATTATTAATTACAAACAGAAGTACCAAAACCATTACTTTAGAAGAACAAAGAAATAACCACTGAATTCCTAGAATTTCCACATTATCATATTTGCCAGCTGCCATATAGGATATCTACATTTTTCACAGTTCATGTTTTTCTTTTTAAGTCAGTCATATCCCAGAGAATATAAAGTAAATAATTATACACATACTCACTTTCAAACTCATAAATAAGTCTCAGGTTGCTGAGTAAAAGCTACTTTAAAACACTTTAAGGCCAGAACAAAGGAAACACGCACATACAAAACAGACTTCTAGGATCTATTAAATTAGATACACATCGAAGATCTCAATAGCAGCTATTCCATATTCCTCTAGTGAAAAAGAAAAAATAAGGTTTACATTTAAAGCATGATAGAGTGTGGGCAGATATGAAGGGAATCAAGTCAAGCAATCAATTTCATTTCAGTAAAGTTGACTACACTGCTACAGTACCTAGAGAGGTATCACCGTGTATTAAACACTATTTCTAACATGTCAACTGTAAACAAACTATAAACAAACTGCATTAGCAGTGCACTGAAGTTTTGTTTCCCTCTGCATTCAGGGATTGCTGGGACTTTTGCTCTTCTTTCATTCCATGTAAGATTTGATACATGCATCCAGGAGAATGAAAGATCGGAGAATGCACCTTTTATTAGGGTTGGAACATGGTGAGGTTTGTGACCGCCTTGTGTCCCCACATTACAACACATTACTGTGAAAGCCTTAAAATATTTTATGTTGTACTCAAATTGGATCAGAAGAGCAGGTGCAGCTGTTGTGCAGGCTTCTTTAAAAAAAGAAAACCCATCTCCTTCTATCACCAGCAGTTATGCAACTTAAAACAAAAGCAAACCCATCTCTCCAAATACTTAGATTTCAGAAGAAAAATTACAGTTAAAAGTAATTTTTCCAAACATCTCCAATTACATTTCTTCAGCTATCATGGATATTGAAGTATTTAACATAATAATCACAAACCAAACTATCTTCTTTCAAAGGAAATTAAAAAATAAAATTAATCTAGCTGTTATAATCAAAATGTATTTCAGCTGCGTTACTTCCCCTCCAAGGAAACACGATCAGGCTAATTACATTCTATCCATTATTTAGTGATGCTATTTTAAACTGGTTTAGCTGGACAGTATAGATTACACTCTTTCAGTCTCTATTCAAATTCTTTGAAGATAAATAATTGTTCATCTCTACCTATCAGCTCAAATTCTTGATAGCATTTACAGTACATAAAGAATCCTGTTCATCGTCTCTAGTTAAATCAAAACCTCCTGTGATTTCCTGAAGTGAACAAGATTTTTAAGTGTTCTCATCTCACAGCAATAAATATTCATTCAACAATCTGTCAGATACCCAACTTCAAAAGACAACTGGCTTGGAGGCAAATACATGTTAATTACGGCTTTTGAATTCTTCAGCAACTGAAGCTGTAGACCTATACTTTTAAATACAGAATATACTTTTAAAAACAGAAAAATCAAGAAGCATAAGAGAATATTTTAGTATAATACAAATACAATGCTACCATAAAAATTACCTGGCCCAAAAGAGCTGGCCTTGCAGTCCAGCAGGTCAATGTGACATTATTCAACGTTCTCTAAAGTAATTGGACTAAGCTGGCAGGTATGATATAAAAGCAATAGGGACTTTTTTTTCTTTGGGGGGACCGTTCATTTACAGTCCACCATTTGACTGTTTCTCAGATACTCATCACAAGCATGTTTATCCTTTTTAAGGCAGTATCAGAGGTACATTTTCACTGGTAATTAAAAGCAGTTCAAAAGACAGAGTATTTCTCTTCTACCTTTCTGTTAGCTGGCTATGGAAAAAAAAGTTTTTAAATTATTATTTTTACCTTTTCTAGCTTTTTAGCCTCAATATGTCGCAGCACCTGTTCCCTCCAGTCATGAGGGACTTTACTTTTTCCTGGATGTTCTAATAAAGAGTGCTCAGAGCTAACCCTTGGGTTTGACCTCTTTGAAGGGCTAGTCCGTGAGTAATTGAAGTCACTAACTGACATAGTCCTTTCTGGTATTTCATTCACTGATGGCCGAGCACTCTGTGGTCGAGGTACATTTGGACCATCAATGCTATATGTCCTGGCAGAAAGAGGTCTCTGCTGCCCAGACATCACTGGTGGAGCTCTTCCCACTGAATGCAAATCTCTGTATGTTAAATAGTCCCCTTCAGGAACCTGCGTCCGCCTTGAAGGTCCAGTATCCCCAACATTTATAGAAGCTGTAGAAGACACACTGCTCTGCCTTTGAAGAGTGTGTCTGGCTGCTCCTGGGAACAGTCTGTCATTCAGTGGAATAGCCCACATATCTGTATGTCTCCCAGCCATCCGTTGATGGGTATTATACACAGTGCTGGCTCGGACATTGTTATGATTGGAGAAATTCATATTGGCAGCATGCTTTATATAGCTGGGGTTTTCTGTACTGTCAGACCGAAGCAGACGTGAAGGAGGTAAGCTGCCTTGTTCTACTTGGGTATTTTGTTTCTGGGGCCACAAGGTATCTTTTGCTGTTGCACTGCTGCTGTACTGAATATTATACTGGGGAGCAGAGAACATCTGTGCACCACTCGTCACTGATCCTCTCGCTACATTAGCATCTTCCGGATTGTGATTTGAATCAAACTTAAACACAGTTTTTGCAGAAGATACTAAGTCAGATGATGATGATGATCCTGGAAAAACTTGCAAAGGCTGATCATACAGAAGAGTAGCAGATTTACTTCGGACTATGTTTTTTCCATCTGCACTATTAGATGCTGATTTTACCACCGAGTTTGACTGTTGAGATCCATTCTCATTGACAGTATCGTAGATTTTCAGACCACCAGTGTCCATACTGGTGACGCTGTGAGATTTCATCACAGGACCACTTCTCTGTGGGGACAAATCTTCAGTGCTCCTTGAAATAGACAGCTCAGCAGAATCGCCATCAACCGTAGTGCTTCTTGTTAGTTTGTCTTTACTGGGAGACTGTACTGCTTCCTCAGGATGTCCATTTACTTTATTTATAGGATATTTATTTCCATTTTCCAAGTGCTCACTTTCTTCTTTCCTGTTGTTATTCAAAAAGCCCTTTACTGAAGCTATTTCCTGTGATTCTAACCTTTCTGCAGGAACTGGCACTGCCTCTTCACTAACCAGTTCATTGATATTCATGTTTATTTGGTCTAATTTGTGAGACTCCTCTATAGGAGTGCTTAGATCAACACCCTTTCCTATCAGGCCTAATCTTTCTTCAATGTTTAGTTCATATTCAGACAAATTTGTAACCTTCTCTTGCACGTTTATTTTTTCTTCTACTGTAATGCTCAGTTCACCTCCATTTTGCAAAAGGTTATTCAGATTTTCATCTTCTTGCCTGGAAAATAAAATAATGTCTCTTAAATTCCAAAAGAAACCAATATATTCCTTTAAGAATTGTTTTAGAAAAAATAATCATTAACATGCAACACAACCATACTGTGCACAAAAAACAGGACCAAGACCAATATACAGAATTATGATTTGCTATTTTACCATTAAAGAAACATACTATATAGAGGGCTCATTTTAGTAATGTTTGTGTCACCTGATTTCAGAAGTTTGCTTAAATTCAACAGGAATTATTAAATACAGTTTAAAAGTGTCACAAATTGACAATAACTCAAATTTTTAAATCAAATACTTGCAAGTTGCATGACAGTTTGGGGCAAACGTCTTGTTTCTACTGGCAATTTAAAAATAAAAAAAGGCACCTTCTAACTAAAACCTCAAAAAAAGTAGCAACCTGTAAGTCCATTTTCTATAAGTTTCTAAAGGCCTTTTATAGTTATGTTAGTAACCAAATTGATCTTCAAAATTACGCAAATAAAAGCAGGGAGCTGTTAAAATGGTGCATTGAAGTATTTTGCAGGGATAACAAATTATAAGGATGAAATTATTACACTCTATTATTAAAACAGATGGGTACCATGTCTTTTATACTAAAATCAGCCTCTAAATGTTATTGTCCTTTCTTTTTTAAAGAACTATTCCATTATTTACCCTTATTTCAAAACATTAAAGTTTATTTAATGAATGATAAACTAATGAATTGAGGAAATGGACACATATGAAAGATTAAGTAACATTTTTCTATTATATTTGCTCGGTCGTATACAGTATCTTACAAACCTGATCTTGGATAAAACACCAGCATGTGTTTCTTTGTCTGGAGAGCAGATAGAAATATCTTGGCTACTTTCAGTATTTAAGGAAACAGAATCTGACATTCGAGAAGGAGAGGAACAGTTGCTGTTATTCTGATTGCTATTGTGGGTAGCTTCATCTGATAAGGAATCAGCATATTTTGAATCATCTGAAATAAAAATTTGCAAGTTTAGTTACCCACACATACATCGATTTAATAGCCATTTAATGTGTGCATGTTACAGTATTTAGAAATTGTCTCTCGTTCTTCAGTAATTATTACCACTAGAAATTAAAATGTAAGCTAACACCTTTGCAAACTGCATTTAAACTTAAAAAAGGCTGTTGGCAATAGTTTCTATTTTAAAAAATATTTGGCTCCATACAAACAGCCCTCATCTGTTAATGAAATTTAACTTGTTGCTTTATTCCAAGTTTCCTCGGCATAAGCTAGTGCTACATTATGTACTATTTCCCCAAAATATCTATCAAATCATATTTCTGTTTTTGCAGTGATTTCAAAGTTTTGAATTGCATGAGTCTATTAGCCCCTATGAAAATTAAGTACACTGCTTCATGTGCAGGATTTTGAAAGTGTACACAGTTCCTGATTTTTAACATTATATCATTGCTAAATAGCTATTTATTGGACCAAGCACTCTGAAAAGACTTAGATCACTGGATAAGCTATGTATAGTTACATAAATGTAAAAAATCAGGAAATAAAAATGTTCTTCTACAGAGTTGGAATCCAGTGCATTCCCATGCTTTGCAGATCACTTAGAACAACATTTAGAGTAATATACACCTGTTCACACTGATTCTTGCATAATGTATGCATATTTACATACTACATTCATATAAAAATAATTTCCCTGTGGGACTGCAAGACAGCCATGATTTTAATATAATTGTAAAAATACATTTGAATTTTTGCTTCAAGACCCAGTTACAGGTGTCAAAAGCATCAATTTTGTGGAACTAATTTCTATCTCCAGAGACTTAGTACATTAGTCAGACATCAAAACCCCAAAGACAGCATTGATAAACTCCAATCTTTTCACCTGCATGTGATCCTCAGCAGACTCTTCCTGCTAACCTCCATGTGCATTTCCTTCATTCCCACTAAATCTCACCCTTTTACATCTAAAGGCCAGAAAAGCCTTTTATATTGGAAAGTACCAGACCAGGTTATCATATGCAGCAAAATACAATTTGCTCTCCAACTTTTAAACTGTGTTTTCTCTAAATCCTAGGTAATTCCTTACTCTTAGAGAAGTACCCAGACTGAAATTATCTTTCAGACAATATATAGCTTCAGTAACAAAAAAAATGTTCTGAAGTTTCCTGATAGAGGAAAGAAATAAAATAAAAGAGTAAGGTGACTCTGGAGGAAGAGTTGCCACAAGAGAAGTTTATTCTTAAATCTTAGGAAGACAGCACAGCTTCTCTGAGAAATTTAAACAAGTGAAGTTGCTGCCTACAGCAGCAATAATCCACAAATTCTGGGGAAGGAGGGAATATGGAATATTTGCAAGGTATATACCACTTTCTGCAATCCTTTTCTTAAGCGTATCAAGAGTGTGTTCGAACTAACAGTCCCCCAAAACCCACGCATCTCCTTTACCCCTCTGCTTTTAAACTGATGACAAGAATCAAGAAAATTAGGAGGATGTCAACCCAAATTTCCCTACCACACACTCAAATATAAGATTCTGCAGAATTTTTTTCTCCTTTCATTGTTTAACTAGAGAATTGATCATCTTCCTTTTAAAGCATACAAATGAAATCTACTTTTACATAATTTAACTGGAAAAACTAGTTACTGTGAGTCAAGAAATTATCAGAATCACACAACACTTCTATTGCTTTTTATGTTATCTAACCTTTTTTGTTATTGCTAAGAGCTACCACTTTTGGTTGGTTTATGGAGGTTTCTATCAGTGGTGGTCGCATTTCTGCCATTTTCATTTCATCATCAGAGGAGAGTTCTTCTGACTCCTGTTAAAGGAAAAACAGCTTTATGGTGTGCATTTTAAAGAACTACTTAAAGGATAAGTAAATGTTATCCAAACTGTCACTTACTGAACAATAAAGGGGAAAAAATATACAAGCAATATAACATAGGCATAACATAACAACTGTGTAGTGCATTTATAGTGTAAGTCAACTGAATTTAGAACATTTGCCACCAAATTATCTCTAGGCAGCAGCACATGCAGATTTGTGTTGTCACTCATGAACTCCGTGGAAACAACACTCAAACCTGTAACTTCAGCTACAAAACCTACTTGGAGCAAGCAGATGCAGCCTCTGTTCCACCACTGGAGAGAACCTCCAGTTGAGTTCAAGTCAGAAAGTTAACACTGAACCAGCAAACACCCCAGACTAACTAGCTGGGTATTGGTTTTGCAGAAAAGAGCTCGAACTGCAACAACTATAGAGTAGTGTGACCAAGAAAATCTTACGAATGGAGAGCTATGGTGTCAGAAACAACTGAATGAGCTTGGCTTGCCTAGTCTAGCAAAGAAAGAGCAAATGTAGCTTGGGTTTATAACTACATTTACACTGGGGGTAAATGCCCAAAGGAAGAGAAGTTATCTAACTTCAAGAACAATGGCAGAGGAATAAAGTGATGCTAAACACATCTGAGCTAGAAATCACTAGTTCCTAACCATAAGATGGAGCTCAGCACTTATGAAAGATTAACTGACAAATCTGCTGCAAGAGCAGCCATGCGACTGATCCAGTATCCTACTGCCAGCCCTATATTCCTATCTTCTTCAAAAAATGATTGTTTCTGGTAATATTTTGAAGGAAAAAAACCCACTTCCTTCTCTGAAGTGGAATTTTTTTTCTAGTAAACATGCTTCCTATTACAGATGCTACAAAATCCCTGTTGCAGATTGCAAAAATAGTCTGCTAATGTTCACTTTTTCTTCCAAGTTTCAGAACATTTAATGGAGCACCACCTTTCCCATGATACCAACTACATGGCCTGTTCTTTGGACTGAAGGGAGGACAAACCTGACTAAGATGTAGCAAAAAACCTACAATAGTCTTCATTACAAAAAAAAAAAAAATCTATTTGTTTTTCTCTGCAATTGGAACAGACCACTTCTTCGCTGCCTCTACCCCATCTCCTTTCTCCTTAGATGTGACATGCAGCAGGTGTTATCAGCGTTGAAAAAAAAAGAAAAACCTTATATGCATACAAAGTTTAGATATCTGGATTCAACTGCAACAGGGTTACCAGCAGGTTATTACATGAAAGTAAGGAATTCACTATCCCTGACTGACTACACACAGTGCCTCATTTACTTACTGGCATAGAGCCAGCTACAAAGAATTGTCATCACTGTTGTTAGACAACTAACATGATTTTCCAAAATTACAGTTTTAAACTAAAGAAAAACGTCAAGACGAGTATTTTCAAAAGGTACATAGAAGGAAGAACAAGCTAGTGGGCAAACTGCCATGTACAGCCACAACTGCTTGTCATAAAGTCTCTTCAGCAAAGGTATGATATATGCATGTTCCACTGCATACAAAACACAGACAAAAATAATCTGCTTGTGAAACTATGAAAAAAGCACTTTACAGGTTGTGACTTGCAACTGATTGAGTGACAGGTTCCAAAGATTGCCGTTAGCCTGAAATATTCTAAACAAACAAATACACAGCCTTTGTTAGAGGTGTACAAACAGCTTAGAAATACAAAATCTCTGACTCTTTGTAACAGATAAGTATAATCCAAGTCATATTCATGACAGATCACTAACAAACACAAAGGAATACATATTCTTAAAACCACCCTTCACTTTTAATTTTAAATGAATGTGCATAGACACCTGGATATACAAGTTTTTATTGCTCCCACTGATCAGATATTTTGCCACTTCAGTGACAATTAAAATCAATTATTTAATGAAGAACTGACAATCAAGCAAAGCCTGGAAAATTCTATCTAGAGTCTTTTCAAGGTTTGATACGTCAGTCAACTTTTAATCGAGTTTGCTTTATTTTTCTTTAAACACATGTATCTTTCATTATGAACTTTTTACTAGTGTGTTCTGGTTTGGGCTGGAATAGAGTTCATGTTCATTTTGGTAGCTGGAGGAGTGCTGCAGCCCCCTGAGACCCCAGGGGCTCCCCAGGTCCCAGTGCCCTCACCTGTGTGCGGGGGTGGGGGGAGCACAGCTGGAGGGCTGGGCCCCGATTGGCCGATATCCCATGTCATGTGACCTTGTGCTCACTATATAAAGGCAGGAGAGGGCTGGGAGGGGCTGCCACTTCTGGGAGTGTGGCTGTGGGGCCTTTGTGTTTGGGATCGCTGGCTGGGAGCAGGCGGGTGTTGGTCAGTCGGCGGGTGGTGAACAGCTGTATTGTACATTACCTGCTGATATTGCTGTCACTGTATTGTTCTGTTACTGTTATTAAACTGTTTTTATCTCAACCCGCGAGTCTCCCTTTGCCCCTCTGATTCCCTCCCCATTCCCAAGTGGGAGGAGGGTGGGTGAGCGGCTGCGGGGCGTTTAGCTGCTGACCAGGCTTAAGCCACGACATAGCTATTAGCATCTGTATTTACCACACTTATGGATGGCAATTTTCTGCTATTGTCAACATAAATTTTCATCTCCCAGAGTACCAAATTCAATACAACACCAGCACAATACTTTGACTGCTATGATGTTGATTGCAATGCCATACCTCGAGCATGTCTCCATCGTTGACAATTGTTTGAGTGTTCTGCAAGGTTTTAACAAGTGCAGTCATGTGTGAATTTGTGGTGCTGTGCTCAGCCTCTGGTTCAGTAGACTTCTGCACAGGGCTGCCTGCTGAATATTGCTTTCTCTCATCTGCTTTGTTCTTTATTGAAGCAGCTTCTGAAGTCTATATGATTAAGAACATTAACAGAAAAAATATCCTGAAAAGTTTTCAGTAACATTTGATATTTAGTGTTAACACTATATATTTTGGGAAACTATGGAATGGAAAATCTGAGCTTTGAAATGCATCTGAAATGCAGACAAATCTCTGCAGATTACTGAGGTACAGTCCCTACCCTTTGTCAATCAGTTTGACTCTCCTCCTTCTTGGGGTCAATTTGTACCATTAGATTTCCAGTTAAATATAAAAAAGGCCAAGAATGTCTATGGTGAAACATGTCAGCACTAAACAGTAGTCCTATCACCTATCATGCTACATCAACCTGTTAAGAGACTCCTGTGTCAACTTGCTATGATTGCCTTCCCAACTTAACATGTAAAACCTCCAGTCACAAGGGCAGCAGTAAAATCCTTAGAGATTATACTGAATTTCACTGTGAGGTCTGGCAGTTAAAAGAGGATCAGAGGATGACAAAGATGGCATCCTCCAGAAACTAAAGAAGCCAGCTCCTTAATGCATCCATAGTTTGTATTTGCTTGAGAATCAAGTTATTTTCCTTGTTAGTGTTAGAGGAAAATTGCTACTGCAAACCAGATGTTTATTATAGACTTCTTTAGACAGTGAAGAGGTAAGTCCTGCTCTTTAATCTGACAGTTTCTCTTGCTAAAGCATTAGTGGGGAGGGAGAAGAGAATTAAAAGGAATCAGTGACACTCTAGATCTTTGGAAGTTCTTGCAAAATCAGAAGAGACTATTATCTCTAACCTTTACTCCCACATCTTTTACAGAAATTGTCTGGCCTTCTCGTTTTGACTCCTCAACAGTGTCTTCAGTAGATTCTTCATCCTTTAGCCTATGTACAATTGTCTGGACTGTTTTGACCATATTCTTCAGTTCATCAGGATATGGAGTTGGATATCTCTTCAGGTTGCCTTCCTGTATAACAAAAACCAACCATGTCCCACATTTAATTAAATGCCATAATTAAAACATCATCTTTACAACAGACAATGAATTAGGGCAAAATTCTGATCAATCTAGGATCTCCACTTTGCTATCTTAGTCTACCTGCACTGATGCAGACAATTTTATAAAATTCAGCAACATTATGAATCACTTTCCCCTCCTCCCTGCCTTCCCTCCCCCCCCAATGTGTCCATTGATTGCAAGCAGGAAGAATTATGGCAACTGCAATTTACTTGAAGAAAAATCAGGATTAATCATTGCTTCCCTACTATATTTCTTCATGGCACCACCAGTCAGGCAGTCTCCTAGTTATGCCCTACTTTGCCTTACACCAGCTGGGCATCCTTCCCTTGTGCTCCACTTTAAATCATCTGGGAAAAAAAAAAAAAAAAACAAAAAAAAAAAACAAAACCCAACAAAGCCCAAGGTATTTCATCCTGTTAGATACTCTCAACTAATAACTGAAGACTTGATTTCTTCAGTGAAATCCACAGCCAAAGGTAAAGGATGGGATTAAGCAGTAGGGATAAGAGGGAGGGAAACACCAAGCATTGAGGAAAAAATTCAATACTAACCCGGGGCGGTACCTCTCTCTCATCTTTGTCTTCATCACACTCAAATGCCACCTGAGCACGCTGTTTCCGCTGTTCCTCCCACAGAGATGGATTGAAACTTTCATTATCAGATATGAACATAACTGAAAAAAAAAAAATAGAGAGTCCCATAAGAATAGGATACATTATGCAAAATAAAAATCCTCTTATTCTTTTGGATGGGATTGGTGTGCTTTTGCATGCATTCTTAAAAGATAAGAGTCTAGGAACACCATTAGACTAGCTGCACTGCCACTGCTTTAGGAACTTGGCTGTATTTTCATAGTAGTAAAATCCTAATCTATAAAGTAAAAAACGTCATACAGCTGTACACTAGTCTTAATACAGCTGAAAATTTGCTGCAGAACTCTGCTGCAAAGTGTTTTTATTAATATATATAAATACAAAAATACATATGTGTATGCATATAAATGTAAATTATACATATATAGATTTATATGGCCTGACTTCAGTGATGTGGTCTCATTAAGAACATATAAGATCATTCACTTGATTTCATTTAATGAAAATTTTAAAATGAACAAAGACTTAGTGACAAAAACCTGCATTACTAATCCAGAAAAAACCCTAAAGCATCTAAAACTTAAGCTAAACACATGATTTTGTATAAGTTATACAAATGACAAGAGCTTTACATAGTATTTCTTGCTTAATTTTGCACAAGAAAAAAAAAAACAAACTCTTGGATACCCACTGTCTCTTATTCTATCATGTCTCCATGACCTGTGTTACATCAGTTAGGTTCTATTATAGCATGCCAAGTTGTCTAATAAATCTGCCACCACCACCCCAACAAATGTATATCCTTCACTACCAATGCCAAGACTCTCCGTATGAACTACTTCTATACCTGAAATAGAAAAATAAGTATAGGGCTCAACAAGTGCATTGGAATATTTGTTACTCTGTGTTTAATGGGTGGACTTATGATTTTAAACACATAAAAATATTTGAAACACATTTGAAAATATTCTAATAGATTTCACTATCACCAAAACTGTTCTTGACCAAAAAAAAGTACTTGATAAAGTATTTTAAAAAATAATAATTTTAAAAACCGCTATCTACTTAACTTTAAACCTTCTGTTTGGAATGACAGGTATTCTGTCAACTCAGGCCAAACAAGCAGCCCTTGCCTTGTCTACAGAAAGAAACCCCAGCACCTGGGTAAAAATGTTTGAACGGAGAGAATGCTTTCAGGAACAATCTTGAACTTCACTGAATCTTCAAATGATTTTGTAATTCTCCCATTCTATCAGAGGTATCGCAGATGCATTATCTGCACTACAAGGCACTAAAAGTGATGCACAATTTAATGGTTTTGCTGACATTTTTGATTACTCTTCTCTCAGCATACTAGATGCTTGTGCCATAGAACAGCAAATAATGTTGCCACTTGTCAGCTTCCAATTATTTCCACTGAAATGTGCCACACCTCCATTTCTGTTAAAGCAGCACAAACTTTTTCCTTTTGCCTGCAGGGGAAAGGAAGTGGAGAAATAAAGAGATTCAACTTTTTCCTTAACTCCTGATGGGGTTACTCATGGAATGTTACTTATTTTCCTAATTATTTCACAAGTGTGCAGAAATAACTTTCTGGCATGATTTTAATATTTTGGGCCCAACCTTTTATAAGACAGTTCAAACTAAATGTGAGCGATATGCTTTTTTTCCTGGACTGAATTTATTTTTCTTTTAAAATACAACACAGAATGCTATGTACTTTTCTAAAAATATGTACTTGGTAATTGAGCAAACATTTTGCGTAACATTCTGTTCAATTAGTCAGTCTAAAGCAGACACCTGCTAAGGAGAATTTCACCCCAAATCATTATGCTCTGTCAGAATGAAATATGGTGTCTCACTGGGAAGTGGCAACCATCACAGAACATGATCCTGCCAGTCCATTCCTCACCTAACCTCACTCACTGAAACAGTTTCATATAGAATTTACCAATACATAGATCACATTAAATTACTGTTCTCATTTTTTAGATGTAACTCTTCATCACTTACAAGTTTACTTCAAACTTGTATTTATCTTGTGAAAGTCATATTAGCTCGACAGTCTTCCTATTATTATTTTCATAAGTGAGCATTGTGACAGAGTATTTCAGAAATTCTTACCATCCTCAGTCCTTGGTTGCTGGGGGAACATGTAATTAGTAAGTACTGTTTTCTGCGTGTCAGGGTCAGCTTCTTTTTGAAGAGGGATAAGTGGTTTAGACTAGGAAGTAAATGAAAGAAGGATATGTTATGAGAATATATATAAAAAAACAATTATGATCTACATATCACAGAGCATGCCTGTCCCATTACTTTGAAGACTACTCTGCCTTGTATTAAACCATTTCTCCTCTGAATAATTTCCACAAAATGAAGCTATTAACATATCTGTCTTTGATCGATGACTGGCTTTGACTGAGAACTGAAACTCAGTAACAGCTTTAAGAGAAAAAGCAAACACTTCAAAAAATAACCCAAATTCTTGCTAGGACTTATTACTATCCCAAAGCAGGCTGTTCAGGAATACAGAGATATATCTGGCCATTTAAAGCTACAGACAATCATATAAACAGAAAAATGTTCTGCTCAGTTTTTCATATTGACACCGGATTGAATATACCCCATCCCATAAAAAAAAAAAAAAAAAAAAAAAAAAAAGTGCAGGGGATTCTTGAAATTACAGTACTAGTAAAAGTGCTTTCATTATACTACATCTGAGACTAGTGGATTTCTGGCAGCCCTGTATACCTTCATGTCATTCAGGAAATCAGCATAGTACAGAGAGCTTCAATACACAGCAAAAATACAAGCCACAAACATGAGTTACTGCTTAATAGCTTGAAACTCAAGACAGTCACAAGTTCAAAGGTGAAGCAAGAAGCATGGCTCAAAAAAAGGCATGCTAAGTTTCCCCAATTGTGGAAGTAATTGCATGCTACACAAGTAAGTACTAGCTTATCAAGCACTAAGTCTCCTGTGTAAACAAGCCTAAATTAAGAAAAACAAAAGTGAAAAATCCAACATCTATTAAATTGCATTTCCTAACAGCACAGAACTTTGCTTCAAGTATGAAAGTCTACAGACAGGCTCAGTGTTGTTTATTTCAGGAGAACAACATAGTAGTGTCAAGGAAGTACTGATGTATATACACAGTACCAGGTCTCATCATTTAACAGAAGGCTATGTATTCCTAATAGAACTGGCAAATAAAGTCAACAATCATCTATTTTTATTTTTAAAAAGGTTCACCTGATTGTCTGATAGCCACATAGCGGTGAGCTGTTGTAGTTTTGTAAAGGTAAATGGCAAATTCTTCAGTCTGTAAATTACAAGAATTTATGTAAATACATTTATCAATACTGTTAAGATTGTTAAGAAAAAATCCTCCATTAGCCTCTAAAAAACGTTATAAAAAGACATTTATGGATACAGCTAAATTAATAACTATTGACAGCTGAAAGGCAACAGCATTTAGTTTAGATTCAAAGCTACACCTGGAATTAAAAACATCAAAACAAGTGAATAAAAAAACCATTTCTGCCCAGTTTAGCAAGCATCTTTAAAAAAGCTACAATGTAACTTGACTTTAACTCAGTTCAGTGGTTTGAATAAATTTCTGATGACAATTAACCTGAATTGATTAATACGAATCCTCAGCACTTTATCTTTCAATATACAAACAAGTCAATTAACAAACAAGTGCTACACCTGAAAAGCGTTGTTTTTTTCCAAGATACATGTGTGGGTAAGGGGCTGCCCTGGATAACAGAAGCTCTGGCATTAATGGATAAATCATGCAACAGATGGGAGTACAGAGAAGCTGCATTGGCAGACTGTGAGGAAGAGCTCAGTTAAACTCACTCCCGATATATTTCAATTCTACAAATTGGAAATTCCCAAAAGAGAAATGTTTTGTCAGTTTTTAATGACCAGCTCTAATAAAACACAACTCTCTTCTCCCCCTTCCCCAGCCCACTGAAGTGTTTTACACCATACTGGGATACTGTCTTGTGTCCTCCATATGCAATATAGGAAGCAATTAACTTTTAAGTAAGAATTAAATGTTTTATGAAAATAACCAAATTAATTGCCCAGAAAAATACATGCTAACAACCATCAATGTACTGAGGCTGTGCTTCAATGCATGTGCCAAGTCATTAAAAATAAAGGCAGCTGAATACAATGGAACTGCAAGATCCAGAACACAACAATAATACATTAAATATACGCATCTCAGCTTCTAAGCTGTGCATGAGATGAGGAAAGATAACATAATCTATTCATAACAATAACTCTACCTTATTATTATTATATTTTATACAACTTCTATTTTAATAAATGTATTCACAAACCTATTGTCACTCAGATTGATCACTTTTAATTTCTGCATATCACCCATTTCTTCAGGGAGAAACTCAAGCTTATTAGAATGCAGAAACAACACTGTTACATGCTTCCAGTTTCCAATCTGAAAAAAAAAAAAACAAACCCACCAACAAATTAATCTTCACAACTCTAAATATGCACATATTTACTGTTTTAAAACAAACAGCATTATTTCTATTTTTGCCTGTTAAGTATAATTCAATTTATCTTTACATATTAAACCTTTAGTTTCAATACACTAGCAACAAATTTATACTTTTTGCTTAAAAAAAATTCAGAATTTCATTATTTGAAAACTTGTATATTTCTATACGTCCTCCTTTAAAAACATATATGAAGAAAATCTACTCAAGAATTATGAACCTGTTATTCAAAAGCTGTAGACTATATAATTTAAAATAGATTAAAAAGTTCAATTTACAGTTTTGTAATTAAATACATACCTCTGATGGCAGCTGTGTTAAAAAGTTATGATCTGCAGCAAATGTCCTTATATTAGAGAGCTGCCCAACAGATGAAGGCAATGTTTCAATCTCATTGAAACTACAGTCCAGTTCTTCTACTGATATTAACCTAAAAAAAAAAAAATACTCCTCTATACAGGCTAATTCATACAACATGAATTGAATACTTTAAACAAAGCTAGTACCACTTTTAATTACAAATCTCAAATTTAATTAAAAATAAAACTTTCAAACCCGAGGGATTCCCTATCCAAGAAAAATCTTTTTCTAATTGCTTAAAATATGTTTTGGGGGTTTTGTTGTTTCATGGTCAATTGTGGGGTTTTGTTTTTGTTTAGTGAGGTTTTTTTTGTGGTTTGCTTTTTTTATTTTTCGGGTGGTTTTTTTTTGGTTGGTTGGTTTTGGGGTTTTGGTTTTTTTTTTTTTTTTTTTTTTTTGTTTGTTTGGGTTTTTTTGTTTTGTTTTGGTTTTTTTTAATTGCCTTTACAATGTCCTCATGAGAGAGCATTCAGTGAAAATGGGGGGGGTCAGCAACATCAAATATTTGTGTACTACGTGAAAACATGCTAGTGCAAGGCACTGAAAACATTCAGAATGGGACAGATCATAGCCAAACAGTAGTTGAGTGAAGTTTCTGAACAAGAAAAAAATTCCAGAGTTAGAGGCAGCAGAGCTAAGAATCTGGCAGTAAAGAAGTATTTTGCAAATTCTGACAACAAAAGATAACCTATATGAATTGTAATAGGAGAAAAGAAATTGGAACAAATACCGTTCATTTGTATAGTACTTAATTCTGAACTAATTATTTTTGCCATCATTTGAGAGTTTTAAATGAAATTGCTGAACACCAAATTATACATTAAAAAAAACTGCTGATGAACAGGTGAAAATTCTCCTTATAATATAAAAAAAAAAAAAAAAGATAAATGTGTGTGTGCAGCTTCACTTTTTACAAGCTTTTTGATAGTGGTTCAATCATTTGCAGTATTTACCACAGCCATGTTACTGCCAAAACCCGTCTGACTGCCTTTTTAAACATCCTGTTTTCCTTCACATTCAATTCTTCTTTCATAGTTTGGTGGCTGTATTAGTAAGTGAGGAACATGTCTTGATATTAAATAATACATAAAGACCATTATGCTGCAAACTAGAAGATATGAAAGCACTTGCTTTCAATTTTATTAAAACAGTAACACATAAAAGAAATTAAAACAAGTAGGTGTAAAAAGATTCAAAAGAGGAGCCATTGTTACAGAAAAGTGTGCAGAAAGGCAATCCAACCTTTTATTCAGGTGAAATACCTACCCTCCTATGGAGTCTGGCAAATAAATTAACTGGTTTTCATCTATTTTAAGTGTTGTTACCTTCTTCAGGGAACCTGTAATAAAATGAACAAGTAAATGAAAAAGAACATTTGAGTTCATCAAGCCCAATTCTGATCTTAATTAAAGGGGGAAAAAAACCTATAGGCAAGCAACCACATCTTCTGTATTCCCTGGCATGCCTATAGCACTGTATACTAAGGAAATAAACAGAAAAGCTTACAGAACTTGTTTGCCAACTCACCATATGCTAGCCATGGGTGGGAGGGAAATATTTTTTTTACCCTGTTACAGTCAACAGTTTTTCATCCATTTATGAACTATTGTATAAAATCACAAATACTACAAAACAAATATAAATTTTATTTTCAGCTATGCATTGCATCTTTGTCCAAAACTGGCACTGTTAATCAATTGAAACTTAGATCTAAAATGTCACTTGTCTATTTTGAAGTGTTCCATGTCTAAACCATAAGCTTTTAAGAACATGAATTAACTGAAAATACAAACCAATAGACTCTGGCAGTTGCTGAAGTGCATTACTGGATAACAGTAGGTCTTGCAGGCCTTCACAACCTGAAATACCTTCTTCAACTACTTCAATGTTGTTTTTAGAAACGTCCAAATAGGTCAGTTCTTTCAAAGTGCCTATGAACTAAAAAAGCAAGAGAAAATAATGCCTTCTAGAAAGTGCAAGTTCAAAACAAAAAATTCAGCAGATTTGACAACAGTGTATCTCAAGTGTACTGCCAGAAGAAAGGAGAAAACCTACTTATAGTACTGAAAATTCAATTTTATGCAAAATATCCAAGCTTTATAATGAAGTATTTCGTGCAGATACACACAACTGATGTTCTTCCACATACACAGATACATCACAGTTATTCTGCAGTTATTCTGCTCCAGTAAGGTCTTTTAATGCTTATTTTGGCCTTGTGTGTAAAACTGCATTCTACTTAACCTAAAAAACAACAACAATGCATCCTTAATTGTACTAAACTGAAGAAAGAAGCCAAAATATAAGCTTGTATTACCTTTCCATATGAACCAATAAGCTTGAAGATTTGTGCATACTACTCTACCAAAATCTTCACAGGGAAAATGCAGTCACCTTCACAAACACAGTTTTACTTTTACTGTAAAGTAGAAATGTTTAATACATCCACTCAACTCTTCAAGGAAGAATTAGCTGAAGTGAAGACAGATAATAAATAGAGAAGACTACTCGTCGGGCAAGAAAGCCTCATGTCAGAAGACTGCTAATGATTTTAAGTTTGAAAACAGATCAGCTGCTTCCCCAATTTCAAATACTCATTTACTAGTTAACTACAACATAAGCACAGGTTCACAAGTACCACAATAATAGGTCAGCTTGGACCCCACGTAACAGGTGTCAAGAACCTAGACAAAATCAACAGAACATTTTCTCAGGAACTAGCTATGCTCACTGTACACACGGCACCTGGACAGGCATTGCTTGCTTTACAGCCGTGACCAGTAAAAATTCACACAACTTATTTATCCTGTAAATTTCTCCTTGCTGTCAAACACAAAATAAGAGCAGTCAACCCTGAATTTGATCCAGAATTTGATCTAGGATTTTAATACCTTTCCTGAATTGGAATATAATTTTTGGATGAGCGGTATATAACTTTCAATGAAAGAAAAGCTGTGTACCGAGCTCTCATGATCAGTGACAATTGCTAAGTGGATTAGTTAAGCATTTAGGTGGCATTTAGCCTTTTTGCTTTAAGTAACATTAAAATTACATAGCAACTTTAAAATACAGGAACACTGACAAAGCATATACTACTGTAAACTGAAATCCTAAATGCTTAACACAGTAAAAGAACTTACCCCTGGAATAAGTGTCAGTCTATTACCATCCATCCAAAATTCCTTTAACCCACTCAGTTGTTCAAGTACTTCAGGCTGTAAAGAGAAGCAAATTTTTAAAAACGTCATACAAAAAAATAGTGAAAGGCAAAACCAACTTCAGTGAATCATCTATTTCAACTTTAAGTAATGTTTTATTATAGCTGTTATATACACATTTTTCACTGGGTCGAAGAAAACAAATAATTCACTTACTGAAATGTAAATATATACTGAATATAAAAAAATATTTTAAGAACTTGATCACAGCACTAAATAATCCTTACAGAAAGTCCTGGGGGTTTTTTATAGAAAGTATATTTTTTCAACTGGGGCACACAAGAAAGAAATGTTATATGTAATTTCTTCTGTCATGGAGGAGTTCTAAAAACCCTTAAATTCCATCAACTCACGAGACCTGTTTTTCAAAAACCACAATGATTTTGTGGTTTTGGGGAAAAGGAAAACAAATTTTCATTTTCTAGCAACCAAGAGTGCATCTGCATGATACAAACAAACCACTCCATCCATAAAGTGAAGTGCAGGATTGTGGTTCAATTACAACTTATTGTTAGAAGTATCATATATATCAGGGAAAGACCAATTCTTGTTAAACTTCATCCTGATTGGGGCTGGACTGGAGTTCCCGTTGGTCTGGCAGCGGGAGGAGCTGCAGCCCCCTGAGACCTCAGGGGCTCCCCAGGTCCCAGTGCCCTCACCTGTGTGCGGGGGCGGGGGGAGCACAGCTGGAGGGCTGGGCCCCGATTGGCCGATATCCCATGTCATGTGACCTTGTGCTCACTATATAAAGGCAGGAGAGGGCTGGGAGGGGCTGCCACTTCTGGGAGTGTGGCTGTGGGGCCTTGGTGTTGGGGATTGCTGGCTGGGAGCAGGTGGGTGTCAGTCGGCGGGTGGTGAGCAGCTGTATGGTACATTACCTGCTGGTACTGCTGTCAGTGTATTGTTCTGTTACTATTATTAAACTGTTTTTATCTCAACCCGCGAGTCTCCCTTTGCCCCTCCGATTCCCTCCCCATTCCCAAGTGGGGGGAGGGTGGGTGAGCGACTGTGTGGCATTTAGCTGCTGACTAGGCTCAAACCACAACAAACTTCTACATTGCATATGCTTTTCTATTTAAACTTCCCTCCTGAGGAAGTAATACAAAACAGGTGCTACTGCACCTTAACAACAACAACCACATTCAGTTAAATGCAGAATTCAGTTTTGTTATACTGTAAATAGACAGCATTCTTGCATAAGTTGCAGTCCTGACTCCCAATAATTCATTTTTGAAGGGAAAATCTTAACTGAAGACTAGCTTTCAGACAGATCTTCATCCAAAAAAGCAGTTTCAAACATTTTATGCTTAACAAAAAGATCATCCTAAAATGTTACCAGTAGTTGACTCTTGTAGCTAAAAGGCTGGGAGAGATGAAGCACTCAGCCAAAAATATACCCAAACAGATAATTTTGCAAACTATACTTAGTTCCTGGCTGTTATGGCTTACCGTGGGCTTGGGCACATTAGTTTAAGGCTCCCACACGAATATCTATCTTGTAATAAAAATATGGTAGTAATGGTAATGGCTAGAAGTGTAATAATACTAATGAACAATTCCTTAAATGCACTTCCCTATCTGACAAAACATACAACTAGGCAAGTGTTCAGCTCTGCATGATCTACTGGTGGCATACAAAGGCTTGATTTTATTATATGGCAGGTCATACAATATTATATGACAGGTTAAGTGATTATAAGACATTTATCTATGAGGTAATGAACAGGAAACAAGTTGATCCATGCTGAAGGAAAAATCTGAGCATTTCAACTGTCAATTCTATTTTGAATAACATTCAGATTTAATATATAGATTCCCTTGGATCTAAATAGTTTGTGTACAATAATAGAGGCAGGTTATGCACAGATTATATAGAACTTGCAACACTGAATACATGATAATCAGTACGTGTTTAGAATTTAAGAAAATGATGTTTATAATTCAAACAATGCCATTAATTTTTTACCAGTAACCACACCATTCCAGAGTGTTATTTTCAAATTGAGGAAAAACATACTCATATTCATCAGAAAATGCAAATAATTTTTATAACAGGCTCCATCAAGTAGTGTAAGGTATACATAATATTGCTCAGTAAAGGAACTCTTAAGCTGATGTTGACATCTTCATATTGATTAAAAATAGATTAAAGGATAAAGAGATTTATAGAAGAGATAAAGTTCTGTTATTAAGACAAAACTCACCACTTCTGTGAATTCATTACTTCCTAAGTCCAGTCTCTCCAGCTGAGTCAGTCTGGACATGGTTCTGCACAGGAAGGGTATTAATAAGGAATGAGATTTAAGAAAATATCGGTTACATCTAATCTTCCTGTATTCATACAAATACATAATTTTTATCAGTATTAAGTTGTGATGCTGCCCTGTAACTGGACTGATATCTAAATAAGATCAATTTTTCACACACTATTCAACCAGGCACACATTAATGATCATGCTGGCTGTTGACTGTCACACAGCGTACACCACAACTCATCTACAGATTAGTTTACAAAAAACAAAGACCACTAGAGTAATCTTTATGATAAAGAGTAATTCAGTGAAGTTACCCTTCTGAGCGCTTCAGCTTTTCACCTATGGCCACAGTAAGTCTTCCCAGCAGCCAAAGGCTGGTTAACTACATGTTTTCCTCTCAAAGAAAGACCACTGCATAATGATCAGCTAAAAGAGAAAACACCACTGTTGTATCACAGTAGCTAACACCTTTCTCCCTCTCCAGACTGCTGACAAAGTTGCTTCCATGTGATGTGGTCTGGAATCCTAATTACTCCTCTAGTCCTACAACAAATCAGATTATGAAATTGGATTCTGTGACACATCAATACTCTTTAAGCCAATTTATGGCAAAGATTAAATCCATGACTAAAATAAAGTAAAATCCATTATTTCAAGCTGTGTTTTGGCAACATTCTTCCTCCATTTAAGTTCACTTTGGGGACTTCACACACAGATTATCTACCACCGCACATGGTAGTCTACACTATCAGTACTCCAGTGAACAGCAGTACTACCTGAAAGGATTTTCAAAGGGGATGTTAATCCTGCATATGGCATTATGTTCTCTACTTATTTTATAATAATTTCCATAGAACAATTAATAATATCGAAAATTCTCAAATATAAACTGTGTGTACTTACTATAAAATTCTGTAAAAACTAAATAAGTGCATCTAAGTGGTAGTCTTTTATGAGAATATACGTATGAACACTAATAACTTTAAAAAACATCTGCACAAGCACAAGATACTCTACACAGATATTCAAAGCTTCTGTTGTTTTTCAAATACACTATGTATTACAGTTCTGAACATAGAGTTAAAAAATTACTTCTATTAAAAAATGCCTTATTGAAGTTAATGTGATTATTAATATTATTAATGAAATAATCTCAAAAAAGGATTACACTCAACATTTGTCTATAGATTTGATTTTCATACATTATAGTAATTATGCTGGGGACAGACTATGAATTTAGCATAAGCTACATAAAGACATGATAAAGACAAAAGCAGAAGCCATCTTTTACACTGCACACATAGCATACATAGGCTTTAAGGGAAAGCCTTTAACTCCCATTCCCAGTCTCTAAGAAGAAAAAGAAAAACAAAATACATGAAAAGGCTACTTCCAGAAGAACCTGAGAAACATTTTCCATCATTCTCAAAGCTAAAGAATCAGATGATTATCAGTAAACCACCTACTAAAATTAACTTTCCAATTCTAACAGAAATTCTCCAAGCCATCATAGAATCACCAAAGAATGGTTTGGGTTGGAAAGCGCCTTAAAGACCATTTAGTTCCAGCTCCCCTGCCATGGGCAGGGACACCTTCCACCAGACCAGGTCACTCACAGCCCCGTCCAACCTGGCCTTGAACCCTTCCAGGGAGGGGGCAGCCACAGCTGCTCTGGGCAACCTGTGCCAGGGCCTCACCACCCTCAGAGTAAAGAATTTCTTCCTTAGATCTAATCTAAATCTACACTCTTCCAGTTTAAAGCCATGACCCCTTGTCCTATCACTACATGTCCTTGTAAAAAGTCTCTCTCCAGGTTTCTTGTAAGCCCTATTTAAGTACTGGAAGGCTGTTATGAAATCTCCCCAGAGCCTTCTCTTCTCCAGGCTGAACAACCCCAACTCTCTCAGCCTGTCCTCATATGAAAGGTGCTTAAGCCTTCTGGTCATCTTTGTGGCCCACCTCAGAGCTGGACACAGTACTCCAGGGGGAATTTCAGAGTGGAGTAGAGGGGGAGAAACATCTCACTCAAACTCCTGGCCATGCTTCTTTTGATGCGGCCCAGGATACTGTTGGCTTTCTGGGCTGCAAACCCGTTGCCAGGTGTTGTGGTTTGAATCCTGAGGGCAACTGAGCACCATGCAGCCATTCACTCATCCCTTGCCCTCTCAGGAATGAGAAGGAGAAAATGATGCAAAATGGCTCAGGAATCCATATAAGGAGAAGGAGGAATGGCTCACCCATTATGGCCATGGGCAAAAGACAGACTCATTAGGGGAAGACAAGAAAACATCACTTTAAATCAAACACTACCAAAGACAACACTTAACAGGCAAGGTGGGACAGTGAGAAGCATCACCACATCCAAAAAACATCTCCCCCCACCCCTCCCTTCTTCCAGGGCTCAGCTCTGCTCCAGATATCTCTATCTCCTCCCCCAGCAGTGAGGGGGCCGGGGATGGGGGTTACAGTCAGCTCGACACTCCTTCCTTCTCGGGAGATGGGGTGAACGCTGCACATTCCTCCCCTGCTCCATGTGGCTCCCCTCTCATTGGACCTGGTCCTCCATGAACTGTCTCTGCAGTGAGTCCTCCCCACGGGATGCAACCATTCCCATGCTGACCTGGTGTGGGTCACCTTTGCATGCTGCAATCCCCCCAGTGCCAAACCTCAACAGTGAGGGCTTCTCCCCTCAGTCCTGATCTCCTTTAAGCACAGCTGCCTGTGCTGGTGTGGGCTCCTCTGTAGGCTTCAGGTTGGCCTCTGCTCCACCACAGGCTTTCATGGGTGATGGGAGAGCGGCTCTGCCATCTCACTATAGGATACAGAGGTGTCTGCTTCAGCGCACCTCTTCCCTTTCCTTATCCTTTTTTCCACTGACCTCAGTGTTCATCCTTCTCCTAACTCCTCCTCACAAGTCCCCACACCCTCCCAGGTTCCCCTTCTTAAATACGTTATCGCAGAGGTGCAACCACCATCACTAATTGGCTCAGCCCTGGCCAGAGGCAAGTCTGGCTTGGAGCCAGGGGACCTTTCAAGAAGTTTCTCACAGGGGACCACAGCTGTAGCCCCCTCCCCTGTTACCAAAATCACCACCACAGAAATCCAACACATCAGGTCATGTTGAGCTTCTCATCAACAATACCCCCAAGTCCTTCTCCACAGGGCTACTCTCAATCCACTCATTACCCAGACCTTATTTCTGCATGGGTTTGCCTCAACCCATCTGCAGGAGCTTGCACTTGTTGAATTTCATGAACTTTGCACAAGCCCACCTCTTCAGACTGTCCAGGTCCTTCCAGATGGCATCCCTTCCCTCCAGTGTGTTGACTGCACCACACAGCTTGGTGTCATCAGTGAACTTGCTGAGGGTGCACTCAATCCCACTGTCCATGTCATCAACAAAGATGTTAAACAGCACCGGTCCCAACACCGACACCTAAGGAACTCCACTCGTCGCTGCTCTCCACTTGAATATGGAGCCATTGACCACAACTCTTTGAGTATGACCATCCAGCCAATTCCTTATCCACTGAGTGGTCCATCCATGAAATCCATGTCTGTCCAATTTAGAGACAAGGATGCCACGCGGGACAGTGTCAAATACTTTGAACAAGTCCACATAGATGATGTCAGTCACTCTTCCCTTACCCACCAACACTGTAACTCCACTGTAGAAGGCCACCAAATTTGTCAGGCATCACTTGCCCATAGTGAAGCCATGCTGGCTGTCACCAGTCACCCATCACCTCCTTATTTTCTATGTGCCTTAGAATAATTGCCAGGAGGATCTGCTCCATGATCTTGCTGGGCACAGAGATGAGACTGATCGGCCTGTAGTTCTCCGGGTTTTTTTTCTCTTTTTAAAAATGGGAGTTATGTTCCCTCTTTTCCAGTCAGTGAGAACTTCACTGGACTGCCACAACTTCTCAAATATGATGGATAGCCACTTCATCCACCAGTTCCCTTGGGACCCATGGATTCATCTCATTATGCCTATTTGTGTTTGCCACAGCACTATGTAATCCCTTTGATAAACTGAAAAACCTGTTTCACAATTCATATTATTGTACATGCTGTCAAATCAATCTAACACTGAGAGATCAGGTAGTCTAAACTACACTTCAGGTTCTGATGTTGTAAACAGTCAGCTTCACTAAGGTTAATACTACAGCTTCCTTCAAGTAGCATACAATTCAAGAGGTGTGTTTGATAGGCAAGCTTGGTCCCAGAATCATTGTAATTACACTCTCAACTTGCTTCTTTCTAAAAAGGTTACTCTTTTATTGACAGCTATGCAGACATAAGCTTAATAAGGAAAAAAAAAATAAAACCCAACCTTTTCATGTTTCCATGGGACCATTTTCCCAACTTTCAGCTACCTATCAGATAAATGCCTCTAAAATAGCCTCCATGTATTTTTGATTTCCTTTCAGTAGAAATATTTTCATTGAGCTGATTTGCATTATCATACTGCCAGTTTTTCAGTCTCTGGCTGTGAATAAGCTCTAAGCAAAACGATGCATTTGGCACAAAGCAAGGTTGATTTAGTGTGTTGGCATTAATTACCCATTTTGATTAACAGTCTTTCAAGTGCTTCATGCTTTAGTGTTAAAAACTATGTGCATGTTTAATCCAGCAAGAAGGGTAGCTGATTTTGTAGAAATTTATCCAAATACACGTCTCATTACAAATACGACAGTATTTGCTGTAAGTATGAAAATATTAAAAAGGTGAGAGTGACAGGGAAACAAGAAAATATAGTTGTGTCCGATAGCAAAAATATTAGCATGTACTGCTACATCTTCTCAGCTTCAAAAAACCCTCCTTTATGTAGCTGTATAGTGTATTCCTTTTAAAATACATAATCAGGTTTGGAAAACTCTGTAAGTTTGAATTTCACACAAGCTTCTGTTCTAACATAATAGTTAAAGCCAGGCCATGGGCACCTTGCTGGCCAGGTCAACTGCTGCATGGTTGTATTATCCTGAAAGGTAGACTCACCTCTTGCATACTATGGACACCCCAATTCTTTTTTTATTCCCAGTTTACATCATATATAAACACTGCATGTTTCCAGTGCCTCACTGTAGCAAAATACATATTAATGTGATTAAATTAAAAAAAAAAAAAAAAAAAAAAAGAGTTAAAAAGAGTAGTCTCAATAGCTTTAATCTCCCTTAATTGAACCACAAGAGTACTAGAAGAGAATAATAAAGGTGACAGCTCAGAATGTACTGTAGATCATTATGGAGGTATTGCAGAGGACATCATGACTGCTCCTGTTCAGTTTTCCAGCAAGGATGAAACTCTGAAAACACTGAAGAGAGCAAAAAAAATCCCAGCAACTTCAACAGAAGTTGTGTTTGGCTTACATACATTAGAGCATATGTTTAAATGTCTCTGATCACTACAGTAGACCTCCATAAACTACTTTCTTTAAAATACTGCATGTAATTCATACCAATAGTGTTAATTATGGCAATTAAGGTCAGAGAAATTTTGTAAACAAAATCTGTATTGGTTATAAGTTTTAATTATATCTATCATTCCTCAGTTGGGAGTAACTTAATTTACAGAGCTACTACCTCAAATTACATTTCCTCTATTTTTTCTACTGAAAATTAGTGATAGCAGAAAGAGCAAAGGAGGATTGAGATTATTTATATCACATGAATGAGTAGAATGCTTCACACTTGGAAGATTTAAATTCACACTTTCTAATCCTATACATTTCATTCCAGATATAAATTCTGTCATCTTTATACAGCAGACACCACAGTACAGTATCTAGGCAGACAAAAAAGAGATTCCAATAGATTACATCCCTTGGGCATGTCTTAGGCATATATTTAACTACAGCCAGTAAGAAAACTGGCTGTTGTACTTGAAGAGCTAGCAATTCACATTTCAGCCTACTGCATGCAAGTCTCTGCTAGCACATGAGCTGGACAGATTGAATATTCAGTTGTTAGCTCCTTCTCTTCTCCACCAAAATATCTTACATCCACCAAAACCAGTACCTCTCTTTATCAGTGTCTGTTACCAGAGGAAGACCCCTTTTACAGTACACCACAACATATTCAGGACTCCAGGGCTAGATATTCACATCCTATCCTTGGGTTCTCTGTTTCTCTCTTCATTGACCTCTATACCTCTGTTAACCCACTTAGACCTCCAGGGTCCAAGTCAGAAAATTCAGAGCATTGCTCTAGCTCATAGAAATAGCAGGAACTGCACCATCAGGCTGGGCTTGTTTGATGTGATGAGTGAGAATGGCAAGGCAGGGTTTAGAAAGATGCTAGACTTTAAGAGAGGTACAACTGGATTTGCTGTTAAAACAAATGCTGCAAGAATCTCCAGAACTATTTTACTATTACAGAAAACACATGTTCTGTGGAACATGCCATTATGTTAAAAAGCCTGTTGCATTGTAGAATAGGTACAGCATAACAGATTCCATGCAATACAGTAATGAATTGCTACTTTCTTCTGCCCTGAAGTATGTGAAACTAAAATAAGTTCTCCAGACATGTGAATCGTATTCCCTCAGTCATTCTGAGCAAGCATCTCAAACTCTACATGTGATTTAGAGATAATGATCTTAATTACCAATGCCTAAGTCAGACACTCAGCCATCAGAACCATACCCAGAAAAGCATACAATACTGCATGCAAGAAGCATCAGACACCTTAGAATGACCATCCTGAGGTGCCCACATGCTGACTTAAAAAGCTCAACAGGTGGATCAGAAATCCACAGAGGTGGACAGGGGCAGAAAAAAAATTAAAGAAAAAAACCCAAACAACTCTGAGTGGGCAAATCTTTGAATAGGCAGACCAGTCAGTCTGAAGGGATATTTAACTTCATCTAAGTGAAAGAAAGGTTCCTTGTGAGAACCTTGTCCAGTTACTTAGCTCTACATTTTATGCTGTGATCTACTTTTCAATTAGCATAACCAGAGAAAAAAACCCTCCAAAATAGTTTAAATAGATGTCATCCGTACTTACTTTGGCAATATTTTTAACTGGTTTTCTCTAAGTTCCAATATCTGGAGTTTAGTTAATCTGTAACAGAAAGGCACAACAAATTATCACAATATACTGTATGCCAAAGCCAATCTCTGAACTTATTTATATTGCTGATTTTCAAAAAGAGATCTACACATTCAAAATATTTTTCCTGTAAGAATACACATCTTTTGTTAAAAAATCTGCATGATATTTTAAATTATTTATTGGGATTTGGTTTTGGTAAAGCAGCAAACAAACTAGATCTTGCCTGCTTTTCCTGCACCTGTTTGAACACATTCACTTTATTTCACCCCAAAGATTTTAAAGCACTTCATTGGATTCATTATGGGTACATGTTACATGTTACCATCATATACAGAAGGAAGCAACAGAAGACAGGTAAGATCAGTCTGCACAAGTTAAAATGCTGGATTTCTTACACTGGCAATGTATCAAACCATTTCATCTAAAAAGCCTCAGAGGAATACCTGTGGTCTTCCACACGGTAAAAACAACCTTTAAATTAATCTTGGATTTCCTTCTATATTCTTTCTAGTCAGCTGCTTAATCCATTTTGATATTTCTGTTAGAAGGCAGTTTGACCTTTCTTTCAGTAAATCCTTGGTCGCAAAACAAGTAACATATAAATTCCAAACTCAACTACTAGGCCAAGATAAATTCAAAGCAGTCTTGACATTCAAGCAATGTACCATCCCCAGCAGAATTTTTTTGCATCAGAACAGCAGTGACAAGACTGTTTCTTTGTCAAATGGAATGCAGAAACTGAGTTTTGTTTAAATACAGACAGGGTTGTAAAGACAACAGTTCTACGTGTGACCCACTAAAAGTCCTCATACAACACAAAATAAGGCATTAAGCTTCCTGACTCAAAAAGGAGCTTAGTGAACAAACCAGTCTTTCCTGAAGGTTCTTAACTGAGTGTGTTGTAAGGACAGAGACAAAAACTTTGATTTTAATTAAGTAATAAGAACTATACTTACAGCAAAAATAGAACTCTGAAAGCAGTATTTATTTTTGCTCTAGACATTTGTTCATTTTTGGATGCATTTGAGAGTAGCAATCTGTCACGCCTACAAATGACCTGGTAAACAGTCACCTTGAAACAGAGTAGAGATCAACACAGCCCAGCACTGCAAGCAGTACTTGTCATCTGGTAGCAACTGCTGGAGGGGAACTTCTTCCCCCCAACTCCTCAAAGAAAAACTAACACTCCAACAGTGCTGCAAGAATACCCTAATAAAAATCCAGTTTGTGGTAATATCACTGCTGTCAATCTAGAACACAGCTGGAAAGGACTTTCTTCCTAGCCTGCTTACCCTACCTGAATCCTAAGATACCAGTCTGTGACAAAATAGAACTTGTTTGTTTAAGCACCCTTAGATTTGAATGGTCATTTTGGACTTGGACTTCTGAACTGAAGAGCAATCAAACACTGCATTAGGCTCCAGTTGGTGTTTTGCTTTGATGACAGGGAAAATAGCAATACAGTTTTTAGTTTTTCTTCACAACATGTACATGCAGTTAAATTTCTCAGTTGACTGCAGTACAAGCAAATCTCCATTCATATGCTAAGCTACATACATTCACACCTACACTGTTTTTGCTTTAGCTAGAACTACCTGTACTACACTTCTAATAAGTTAATTCTGTGAACTTAAAGGCTGCCTTTGGTGATAGAAGGGTTCACAGCTTTGTCACCTTGTTTCATGTTCTATTCTTTCTTCAGCTAACCCTAAGAAACTGAAAAAACAAATATCAAATTTCTTATGTGCAGAGTTACACAGAGGCTACCAGGAAAACAATTTCAACCTCTTCTGAGACATACAGGCTGCGTCTAAAGTAGTAATCTTCTTGCAGTAATTGATAAGAAATAGTGGAATGGAGCAGTTGTCACTTCTTCCATAATGACTAAACGGGTTAATTCAAGTTTAATATAATGATAAACATCAAATACTCAGCCTAGCTGCTCTTTAAATTGCTGCCGTAAACACCCATGCTAAGCACCTGAACTGCTATAATGGAACTGAAAAAACAGGGTTTAATTTGCAAAAGAAATACAGAGAACCAGTCCACTTACACTAAAGGAAAAATAGAAGTCAAAGATGCAGAATATGTATTTCCAGTGCCATTCTATCAAAGATTTGTCATACTCATACAGAAATATTTAATTTCTCCACATGAAAAATCCCATAAGCGCAGAAATATTTACCCATTACCTAAACACAAAGCTCTAACATAGAATTATTCAACCCTAAGTATACCTGGTATAACACACTCAAAATTTTTGTTGGATTATCATTATTTAATGTAACCAGCTTAGCCTTCTTTTAAAACGTAGCTCAACTTTTACATAAAACAAAATCTCGATGTGAACACCTTGCCAGGATAAGAACAATATTCTTCCTAAATCTTATTTCTTTAACTGCACAGTCTGTAAAAAAGCAGGCATACTTAGAAACTTGCTGTGCAACAGCAGTCATTCCTTGGAAAGCTAAAAATACTTAATAGAGAGATGCTCTTTATTTTTCACCTCCTTTGCAGTTTTGCTAATGAAGAATATTTTTTTTTAATTGTAACTAAAATATAAAGGCAAGAGGACTGAAATATATGTATCCTATAGCCAGTTGTATTTGCAAAAGTTTTAGCAAAATTGCACATATGTAACTAAATTAAGTCCCCAAATTTATTATCACTGTACATTTTATGTAAAAAAATTATCCCAAAGCAGATACTACTAAAACCATCTACTACTACAAATAGTACTGAAAAACTATTCAGAAACAAGATTCAGAGTAAATTCCTTGAAACATCACAATAAAAAGTCTCTGTAAGGAATACCCCATTATAGACAACTTTCTCAGAGTTTTTAAAATGACACCGAAGATAAATTCCTTACTTATCTTAACCACCCACCATTAAATAATGTTTCCCTTTTAAAGCCCTCTCACAAAATTAGCATGCAGTGAGCTTCAAGTTTATAATGCTTTTCTAATATATTTGTATATTCAAGTATAAATATACATGGTGTATTTAGATACAACTGATAAGGACTTCTTAGGTAAGCACAACCAATTCTCAGACTTCTGTACGCTGGCATAAAGGATAACCCTGGAATCCGTGACAAATTAGAATTTGGGAGTAGTGATAAAAAAAACACTTTATCACCTCAGAATTCCAAAGGAACTGTCACATTTCATCAAAAGTCTGGTGATTTTTAGAAAGTCTAACAGGCTGGACCAGTATAACATCACTGAAGGACAGCAAGTATGTAATGCTCATAAAGAAGGGGGAAAAAGATCAGATAATCTTGACCTCAATAGTATGCAAAGCTTTATTCTTGCCTTCAAAATTTGTGCCAAAGCATGGAGGTAAATGTAATAAAATGCTGCATGGATATAATAAAAGTATTTTGCTTTACACAAAGTTTTCCTTTCTAAGCATTAGGCAGAATGTTACTGACAGAAGTGATCAAAGGCCCATTTTGGGACTATCCTGTTCAGTATTTTTTAAATAGCAATCTTGAAGGATAGGAAAAATGTTTAAGTTGGCTGATGCCACAAAAGACAGTCACAGACAATACAGTGAATTATTAGGACACTGTAGGGAAAAAGCCTGTACGACCTTAAGGACTGAAAGAAAATAGAAAAGGAACAAGATGCCATAGCACCAAGTCAAGTACTCATTATTTCCGTGTAGAGTCAGCCATTTCTAACTGAGCTGTCCAATGCATTAGTTGACCATGTGGGAAACAACACTAGGCAGCTGCAAAAAGGGCTAGTGGAATAGTAGAGCACAACCACAGACATTTTTAAGAGAAACAGGGAGATAATCATGACACTGTACAAGCCATGAAGAAATCTCAATTTTAATTCTAAATATAGCTATATATGTCATCATCCTCTGTCAAAAAGAGGATTAATTCAAACTGAAACTCAATCCAAGAGATATTAATGCAATCAGACACAAAGGAAAACCTGTCATACCAGAAGGAAACAAAGTTTTGTTTAGTCTAACATAATGAGAGGGATATAAGAACACTGTAAAAAATGTATGTGATGGAATGGGGGACGACACTCAAAAGATGACAGCAATTAAACTGTGGAACAAATGAATATGAACAGTCAAAGAAAAACTGATGTGGGAACCCAGGTTTCTAACTTGAACTGCTGGAACAGAAGCCCTGATACATGGATCATAAAAACCCTGCTAGCCTTAGTATGGCACTGGCTTAGTTTTTAAGAGATGTTATTGCCTACAGTTGCCTGTAAGAGCAGGTAACAGAAATCAGTTACTTCATATGTACCCATATAATGAAAAGTAATAGCTATAAGGCCATATACAAAACAATCAATTAACCAAATTGGAACAAGCTGAAGATTTGTCCTTTATGGGAATAACCAACAATGCTCTAAAAATCCGAAAGGCTTCTACCAGAGGCTTTTTGCTTGTTTTTTAAAAAAGTATTCCATATGCTGAAGTACAAGTTAAAAGACCACTTGTGCCGGGCTGGGCGAGCCGAGGACTCAGGCCAAGGAAGAAGAACGTAGCCGACTCAGTATGAGTGATAAAGTGTGCTTCCGTTTATTGATTTTCATTACAGCCTTTTATAATCTTTCTACTAATTATGCCTACTAGTCACTAGCTGATTGGCTTAAGCTCTAAGGGTCGTATTCTCACGGTCCACCTACTTGCAGTTAGCTTACAGCACAAGCTTCTCATAACACTAAGTTTCTCATGCTACTATTTCTAATGCCTCTTGACTTGTTTTCGATACACAACAGTACCGTAACACAACGTTTCTCAGACCACCGTTATCATAACACTGGGTTTCTCAGACCACTATTCCTAATTCCCCTTAACCTGTTTTCGACACACCACGGTACACAGGCCGAAGCATCCTTGACATTCCTCAGGTATCAGCAGCTGCAAGCAGCTGCAGGCAAACTCTAGTGGGGCCCAGCATCAGCAGCTAGAGCAGGCTCTGATCATACAATTGCTCGGTGGGCTCAGGACCCTTGTCTCTGAGCCATTCTCCAACAATTCCCCCTTTTTCTTTTTGTATGAGCAGAGCCTGCGCCAACGTTCATTCAAAGATTTTCTTAATACATGACAAGGCACAACTTAGGCATGCAGGCTTACAATCTATTGGCTAAAGGCACAGGACCCTTGTCTCTGAGCCATTCTCCAACAATTCCCCCTTTTTCTTTTTGTAGGAGCAGAACCTGCCCTAACGTTCGTTCAAAGGTTTTTTTTTAATACATGAGAAGGCACAACTTAAGCATGCAGGCTTACAATCTATTGGCTAAAGGCACTTATCACGCACCCAGAAGTGCTGTGATAGGTCTGCATCGTTAGCACGCGTGAACAAACTAAATCTACTGTGCAGTTAGTGTATCCAGGCATTCGAACAGGGCGTGAACAAACTAAATCTACTTTGTGGTTAGTGCATCCAGGCATTCAAAACAGGGAGGAAGCACTAGATTGACTTCCTCCTTGTCTCTGAGCCATTCTCCAACACACTTGCACTAGCAAGTGTTTATATAATAGTTGTAAAGTTGTAGGGTGGCAGACCAGTCTGATCACTTACAGAAGTACTCAATGTCAAAGGCATCTGAACCTTATTTGAAATGAGATTTTACCAATTCATCTTTTTCTAATTTATGTGATCTAAATATTACCTTCCTATAGAATACCATTTATTCTGTGCAATACCATGATTAGCAGGTAAGCTTATATGAAAGCTTTGAATTCATTTAAAAACAATGGGCAAGAAAAGTCTTAATTTCAGTTTCATTCTCCTAGCTACAAGCTAAGATGATGCAAAACGTTATTTTAAAAACCAAGGGTGAATTCTTCATAGCTAATAAGAGAAACGCTACACTGGAGAACTGACTTTCAAGTTGCCTTCATTAACTGATTTATTCTTAAGCTGTTAGTAATTAATGACTTCACCATTTCCCCAACCATTAAGCATTATAGAAACAGACAGTGATGAAGAAAAAAATTATAATGAGGCTTTTTAAAACTACATGTAAGATTAACTACTTTTAAGACCAACTGTGCAAAATTGAAGTCTTCCATTTCATCTGTAGTGCCTGTTTTTCAGTAAGAAAATCTTTCCATTTGGCTAGACTATTAAATAATAGAAGAAAAAAAAAAATGTATTGGCAATCAGTAAAACACCAACAAGTAAAGACTATGCTTCTTCTAGATATTTCTTCTTTGACCTTAATAAGGGCTTTTAAAACACAAAACTTGTGTACTAGAAAAAAACATGGTAATTAATGCTCCTGCATCATAAGAAGCTTTTTTGTTAGCTGAGTGTGTGACAGATCTGGTGCTTTTAATCGTTCATTAGGGAATGACTAATAACTGGACAGAGAAAAATATGTCAACAAGTCCAATCACAGATAATTAATAATCTAATGGTCACTAATGGTCTGCATCTGTGCTTATCTTTCACTGTACATCTCCTGATATGCCAAACTTCTGCAGCACTCTATTTGGGGTCTTATAAGCTGTGCTGACCCAGCTATAGCCATACATCCCAAGATAATTGTTTTCACCCAGCAACATGCCTGGTTAACTAATAGCCATATTTCCTGAAAGAAAGGCTTGATGGACATGGGATGGAGTAGGAGAGTGAAAATCTAAGAAGAGAGCATAAGACTGAAGAGAGAAGAAAAAAGCAGAAATGGCTGAATCGGCATGATAACAGGATGAACTATGGTCATCTAGGAGTATTCCTTTCAACGGTATTATCCTTTCACTTTTGTGCCCATGATTTAATCCATTTTGAAGAGATAGGAGTTTAGCATTTGTCTTGCATTTAAACTATTACATGGAACAATTTTGCTCAGTCATCATGCCATAAATATGCTGTCTTTCAGAAAGATTCCTGACAACAATGCACTTGAGAATTACAGATATGCATGAAGAAGCGAGTGCATCCTGGAGAGGACACGTGGAATTACAGATGTCATTACTTGCTTCATCCAATTACTAAATGATAAATAACCCATAATTCAGAAATACTAGTCACATATACTTAACAGACTTGTGTTGTAAAAGAAGCAAGTATGTAAATGAGTTATTTCTTAGCTCTTTATAAGCATTCTGTCTGTCCTTTAAAAGCCCAATTAAAAAAACAGTGATAAAAATTCAAGGTTTTTTTCTGTAACTAATATGTGGCATAAATGAATGGGTTGCACACACTTCTTCCCCTCCTCCAGGTCACACTTTGCTTGAGAAGCAGCAGAAACTGCTCTGCATAAATTTGAAAATAAATGTAGATACTATGTTACAAATTCAACTTACCTGCCAAAATTGGCTGGCAAAAACTCAAGAAAAGCATCGTTCAGGTACAGCTGCGTTAGGTTTAACAGTTGGGAAAATCCATCCGGAAGCCTGTATAGCAATAAAATAATTTAGGGCCTTTGTTTCAATTATATTCAGAGCATTAAGTCATATTTTCTTAAACAACAGTACAGTGTTGAAGTCCTACATATTGATAACATTAATATTAAGGTGGTCCCAGAAATTCTACAAATAGAAATTTCTACAAAATTTCTACTAGATAATTTTGAAGCTAATCCTACAGAGAACAAGTCAGTATTTAGGACACTATCTACAGTCAGTAAAAACTACAAACAACAAACACAGTCTTGCTACGTACTTGTGACCTCCTGACACATAATGTGGAAGAGGCATTCATTAGAGACAATAAGACAAATTAAAACCTATGCAACACCTTTTTCCCCCGTAAGAGTTACACACTGCAAAGTTTCTATCTCTGGCAGAGCTACTTCTGGAAAATTAATTTTGTCACTATAGAATGACAGGGAAATCTACTCACACAAGCTAAGTTGAAAAAAAACTGGTACAGGTCTCAGAGTAAAATCAATTATTGGTATTAAGAAGCAAAACTTTGCATATTTCTCTACATTCACAGAGAAGTGATGGACTTGAAAATAAGAAAGTCACATCGTATAATGCAGGATTGCCCACACAGAATATCAACTTGGGCAAAATACTTTAATGACATAACTATACTATATCACAGTGCAACGATGTTAATGAAGATACTTCATAGGTAACTGTGCTCCTTGCCTCCAAGGGTTGGCACATGTCTGAGGCAAAGTTGACACTCAGCAGTGTTTGCAAAAGATATAAAACATTGTCACGGTTTGAGCCTGGTCAGCAGCCAAACACCACGCAGCTGCTCACTCCTCCCTTCTCTTCCGGCAGTGAGAAGGGACAAATGAGCCAGGCTTGGGAATTGAGATAGGACTGGGATGGGGAAAAAAATCACGCTTTATGGTCACGGGCAAAAGGCAGACTCGTTAGGGGAAGAAAAAAAAGAACATAGATTTATTGCAGACACTAACAACAACACATAACAGTTGGACAGTGAGAAGCATTGCCACATCTTGAGAACACCTTCCCCCCACCCCTCCCTTCTTCCCGGGCTCAGCTCTGCTCCCGATATCTCTACCTCCTCCCCCAGTGGCGCAGGGGCAGGGAATGGGGGGTGCAGTCAGTGCTGCCGCTGCTTCCATCTTCAGTGGGGGGAGCTTCTGGAACTTCTCCCCCCTGCTCCATCGTGGTCCCCCTCTCGCAGGAGACAGTCCTCCACAAACTTTCTGTGACATGAGTCCCTCCCACAGGCCGCAGCATTTTCTTATACTGCTCCAGAGTGGGACATCAACCTTCTCCAACTGGATTCCCTCCCACGGGCTGCAGCCCTTCCCAAGCTGCTCCAGCCTGGGACTCCCCCGCATGCTGCAATCCTCCCAGTGCTGAATTACAGCAGTGGGGCTACCTTTTCCCACAAGACCCTGGCCTTCTTCAGGCACAGCACCTTGGTAATCCAGGTGAAAAAACACAGGCCATAAATCAGTGTCTGCTCCATCGCAGATCTTCATGGGTGGTAGGGGGGGGCACTCTGCTGTCTCACCACAGGATACAGGGGGGTCTCTGCTCCGACACACCTCCCCCCTCCTTTCTTCCTCCGTTCCTCCACTGACCTTGGTGTTCACGCAGCTGCCACAACTCCTCCTCACAAATCTGACTCCTCCTCACCACGTCCCTTCTTAAATACGTTATTGCAGAGGCACAGCTGATTGGCTCAGTTTTGGAGCAGAGGTGGAGCTGACTTGGAGATGGAGGAGCTTCGAGAAGTTTCTCACAGGGGCCACCCCTATAGCCTACTCCCCTGATACCAGAAAACCCCACCACTCGCTCAAATCCAGGACAAACATCAAAAAAATTACAAACTTACTTTGAAATTGGATTTACGCTGGCCTCAACAACTGTCAAGAATTTACAGTTTTTTATATTTTCTGGAAACTCCTGTATGCCTACAAGGTACAGAGAGAGGTAGGGAAACAGTCTTAAATTATTAGATGTAAAAAATGATGCACATAAAACCATTAGCCATAAAAAACTTTAATTCATTTAGCAACCAGTGGACTGGTTCTCTGGTATTTAATTTTAGATACAGTTTTCATTAAACAAATACCCCTATGCAATATCAATTCTTTTACTATTCTATTCCTAAAGCATTTTATATTGGAGCTGGGCAGACAGCTCAACAAGGAGCATTACAGAGACACAATACACTAACAATTCCCACGGCTCATTACCAAATACTAAAGTACTTGTACTTTGTAATGTACTTAAGATCATACCCTCAGTCCCAATTTCTTTTATTTACTTTTTTATTTTAAAATGGCATTCATACATGTGGTAGAATTAAGTTTCCAACAGGATCTGTTTGTCAAATGCATGGCTTGTATGACATCCAGGATAAATGGTAAGGCTTCAAATCTTAAAGTATATTTACATCATTCATGGTCCTGAATAGATTTTCCAAAATGTAACACATGCTTGCTGTTAGCTTCAGATTATTTGTAGAGAAGAACAGAAATGCTCTCTTACAGTCCAGCTGCAGAGAGAAAGATAAGGGCAGTGTCTCTTCTCATTCAGATTGGCAGGTGGGACTTGGTTGTGTTTCTCCATGTATCTGTTCTGACAATACTGAATCAGGAACAACATTGCGAACATCAACTGCTAAGTAATGTTTTTACTTACATAAGAAATCACACAATTTCTGATGCTAGTTTAGAGTTAGGTTTACCTGTTTGTGCAGTAACAAGCCTGACCTGGTGTATTAGGACTTAAGAGATGGCAATATCACCTGACAAGAAAAGTAGTCACAATGCACATACTTTCACATTAAGTCAACTGGTGATGCTGAGTGGCAAAGTCACCATGTTGACTTTTCCATAAAATCACCTTAAGTAGAAACACCATTTCTGTCAAAGTAGACTTTTAAGTCTTTCTTGACAGGAACTTGTTTGTCATACTAAATGGTTTAGACTGTTATTTTTGACTTATACCAGGTGTTGTACTCTGTTATTGAGAGGCGAAAGGCAAGAAAACCACACTAAGACACACAGTTAATCCAGGTATTTAAAGACCTCTAAGTATCATGGAGCCTTTTGGAAAACAGCTTGTTGAGCTTGAGAACAATAAAATACAGAAACAGAGGGGACCAGGAGGAATTGAACCATCAACTGTAATACAGTTCAAGGTTTCTGTCCCTTCTGTTTTACTACCATGTGTGTTCATGTAACATGCAAATGAAAATATAGCTTTATACATATGGCCATATGAAGTTTACTGGGGCTGTGAGTGGAGTTGAAGCAAAAGACAGTAAGAGGGGATACTGATTCAATTCACTTTACCACTCTCACAGTTCAAAATGAAAACTAAAAAGATAATCCACATAATGCAATGAAGCTTCATTTCTGGAAAGCAGCAGTGATATTTTCAAATCCAAAGACACGTTTAAAGAAAGATTAGAAAACTACTATAGGAAGACTAGGAAAGTACCTTACCTACTGCTGTCATATAACTTTTGTATTAAGAGAAAGATATTTCCAAGAAATTTAAACATACATAGTCTTAATTCCAGTTGTAGCAAAAAGCCTCTTTCACCAAACAAGAATATCCAAACATACAGAGGTAAAGCATCTAACATGATACAGTATTCTGAGCCATGGCAGATGAACAAAAATAAGCACATTAGAGGCCTGTGTAGATGAATTTATGGATGATCTGTATGAAGTGGTCTTCTATTGTCTAAAAAGTACATCAAGACCTCTGTATTGCTGATGATGTAACTTTACCTTCTTACAATAACTGTCGATATGAACCAGAGTAAACCACTGCTAAGCTCTTCCATGGTGGCACGGTTGTATTTCAGACTCAGTCTGTGCCATTAATTTCACTGTTTGAATCACACTGAGAGATTCTCTAAGCTAAGTTCTTTTGAAAGATGGTCACACTACTGTCCTTGGCTTGCTCCTTGCATGACAGATTGCTCTGGTCTAACATGTTAAACCTCATGTTTTTAATATTAATGTTAGTTTCCACTGCCTGTATCAAGAATTCACTGAAGCACAGAAGACTTAAATCTGTGACAACTACCTAGAAAACAAAACACACAGCACATCTGCTAGAGAGGAGAACACCAATGTAAACTTACTCTCAAAAGAACAGCCAAATAAAATATTAGCTATCCAAATACAGACATGTTAAATCAGCATGCTTTTGTACATAATTGGAGAACTCAACAGTAGTCTCCTGTTTGACTATGCCTTGGGCAAGAGGCAGCAACAGTTTTAACAACAAATTAACAGCAGAAATTCAATTGATATAAGAAAGCTAATAATGAAGGAGCCCATGAATACAATTTTGCTTCTCAGAGCCAGGACTGTTATGGTACACACCATCTTTACCAACCTCACTCAGTACTTCAGTATGGATAAATGGCAGCCATAATTCAAGAGAACAGTAAATTGGGAATGACAGCACGAAATACACCTAATGTTTGTAGCACACGTTGAGAAGATAGAAAAAAAAGTTAGGAGACTGCTCCTCTCTACCATGTGATTGGAAGTTGCATTTACTAACAGGCTATACAACCACCTCCAGACACTCACTTTTCCTCAGCTATATTCCTCCTGCATGATAAAAACACGCAGTTATTGTTGGATTAGTATTCTTTCAGTTCTCCCACCAAGAAAGCAAATTCAAAAAGCAAGTAAGAAGAGTAAGTATGGCAGGGAAACACTGGAAAAAGATATGAGAGAAAGACAAAGGTCTGTAAAAAGCACTTTATAAGAGTATCTGTTCCTTTTTCTCTGCTTTCCCTCTAACCTTAGTATCCGGAATCTTCTTCCCCATTAAGGAAGCTCAGTAAATCTTGAGGGTCTCTGTGACCACATCTTTCTGCACTCCTTTTGTAACAGCATACTAAATTAATCCATTTGATAGCTACCCCCACCCTCCATGAGCATCTGATCAAATAAACACTGCAAACTGAGATCCACATTAATTTCTAAATCCTGTTCTTTTGTTGGGTTCTTTACTGCTTCCTTTATACGCTGATACTCAAAGTTTATAAAAGACAGTGCAACCGATTATTTGGGGGTTATTTAGTCTGTTGCAGCCTTATCTCACTTCCCTTGAAAAGCATCATATGAACAGGTCCTTCATCCTGCTGTATATCCTACTTTACATGATAACAACCATCATCCCCAACTCATTTCAGTGCTGTAGCTGATTTATGGCTCCCTCTTACTGTTTTCCAAAAGAATAGAAACGATCACACTCGTGGACTATGACCATTTGCAGAGCACAAAAGGAGAAAATGCAATTTGCCGGTAATCTTTAATTCTAACCAGATCCAAACTGAATTGAGAGCAAAGTCCTTTTTGTAGTGTAATTTCCCACAGAAGTGAAATTTACATAATAGCTTTTGGTATTTACTTGTCTGTTCCTTCCTCCCTGTTTTCCCAAATTTCAGACACTTCAAAGTCACTGGCCAGTTTCTACCAAAAGCAATGCTAAAAAAAAAAAAAAAAAGAAAGAAAAAAAAAAAAAAAAAAAAAAGGAGGGGACAGGACTGGAAGATTGCTAAGGAAAATCTGGCAACAAGGTAAGGCAGAGGAATCTAAATTTCTTGTCTGGACTAAGCCAAAAGCAGAAAGCATTCATCATTCAGAACTCTACTTGGCAAAACTTCATCAGCTAATCAGCCTAACCTAGAAACTGGTGTTTAATCACAATCCCAGACCAACTGTGGCACACGCCCAAAGGGCATACCAGAAAGGTCATATAGGGATTTCAAGTCAATGGCCACAAGTCTGAAGGTAATCAACCTCAGTCTGGATCACATAACATGGTTGAAATTTGAAATTTTGCCTGATCTCTAACTCCTCTGAGAGCAATGATTGTTTTGGCACAGCTCATCAGAGCAAACATGCACAAATGTCCCTCTTTTTAGACTGGATCAAGGCAATTGTAAGTATAATTGGGGTCCCACTCATCATCTGGAGTTACACTTATCTCCTCCCCTACATAGCACAATCCTTTCCTATCACCAGGATCAGCATAATTTGCAGAGCAAGAGGGAAAACTGGGATGACTTTTTCTCCCCATTAGATAAGATGTTTTCACTCAGAAATACTGGCAATTCTGGATTTACAGAAAACTGTGCAATTCATATGCGCCACTGGCAGAATCCTTCACTGCAATGGATCCCAGAGCTGACACCCCAGTATACCACTGTTTCAGCCCTACTCCAGATGGGGGCTTGCTTTGTTGTTCATATTCAAGTCATGTAGTCATCATTTTCTTCACAATCAAACACTGGTATGCCCAGACTTCAGGTACTGAAACCACTACTGCTATAAAGCAATGGCAGTGCCTCCGAATGAAGTTCTATCTCTTGTCACACAGAAGCATTTTAACCAAGCTTACAAAAAAAAAAAAAAAAAACCAAACCCAAAACAAAACACTAAACCAACCCGAAAACCAAAACCAAGCAAAAAAAAAAAAAAAAAAAAGTATTGCTTTAATTCGTAAAAAGCAGAGAGAAAGCAAATCACTAACATGAGTCCTGTGGAAGCCATATGGACAATGTCCCCAAAGGAAAGAGTTTACAGCTAGATTTCTCAGTTTGTGCTGAATGTAAGAAGAAAAACCCATTCTCTCAAAAAACAAGCACAACAAAAAGCCCTCTTGCTGCAAAAGAAATGAAACTACAACCTGCTATGAATCCAATCCACTCTGCACCCTTGCAAGTATAGAGGACACAGAAGCAAACACACAGACTCAGTCTCAATAAATATGAAAGCAACCCTAATTATGTACATTCTTCCCTCAGCTAATCTATTCATCCTGGTCCCAACTTCTGGGCAAGCATCTATTAGGACCCGCCTGAAAGCAGTTCCACCATAAAAAGAGCAGCATTTGTTCATTCTTCCATCCACGCCTCTGCTACAGCTGT